GATATTTTTAGTGGGGTTTCTTTCCCATATTTATCAGAATAAGTCTTCTTTTTTTTTTTTTTTTTAATGCTTATTTATTTTTGGGAGAGTACTCATGAGTAGGGGAGGGGCAGAGAGAGAGGAGAGAGAGAGAATCCCAAGTAGGCACTGTGCTGTCAGCACAGAGCCCGATGCTGGACTCCATCTCATGAACCGTGAGATCATGACCTGAGCCAAAATCAAGAGTTGGACACTCAACCAACTGAGCAACCCAAGTGCCCTAGAATAAGTCCTAAAATGTCTGTTTTAGAAATTATTGATATAGTCAACTGTGAAATTACATTTCATCTTAAAAAAAAAAAAAAAAAACTCCAGGAAATACTCTGCTAATCAGTTGAGAAATTCTGTCATTTACAACTGTCTGATTTCAGTGACTCTTTAGTTGCAAAATATTCCAGTCTGTCTTGAAGCATTTGAAAGGTAGTGCTCTGAAACCCCAATCGGGAGGTCTTTCAAAAATAAATTTTGACTTCATTGGTATTTCTGAAGAGAAGAATCCTTCTAAAGAGCAAAGGGACATGGTCCCTTCATTCCTGTCTCCACCGTGGCACATTTAGACATTTGCCACCAACAGGGTGGAGGTTACTGGTAGGAATGTATAATCACTTTGTTATCTGCCCCCCTAGTTTTAAATCACAAAAGCAAATGGACAAAAAGGTCAATTCCTTCTGGAACTAGTTCCAATGGCTACTAGTTAAACTCTGCTACAAAAGAGGTGAGCATTTACAGAAGTGTGTATTTTTATAGTTGAAACTTCCTAATATGGTTTTTATTCAAGAATTTAGATGAATACTGGTCTCCCAAAATAAAAGTACTGATGACATATCACTGGTTCCAAAACGTAAATCTTGTGAATGATTTTATATCTTTTTTCCTACCACCTTTGTTTTGTGGCTTGGTTCATTTTAAATTACTGGTAATAATTGTGTTATATTTTAAAATAATTACATCTAAAGATAGTTTAGAATGGAGTACACGGTTACTAAACACTGCCTGAAGTGAGGGAAAGCCATTGAACAGGTGTGGCCTGAGGACCAGCAGCTTTCTCCCAGCTTGTTTGGTTCTTGGTGTACATGTAACAGAGGGAATATTGTCCCTGCCCCGACATGAAGCCTGCAATCCAACAGAGAAAACAGCAGGAAAAATATGAGACAGAAATTTACTTTATCCATTATTGCAAGTATTTTGGAGGCCAGTTTTATGGGAGGATTTGATAGTTTAAAACAGAAAGGAAAGAATTTTTTGCTTCATTTGTAGGAAAATTTGAGTAAAGGCCAAAGCTTTGGGCAGAAATATGCTTATTAATAGTCCCTGAACATTTTTGCTTGTGACCAGCAACATGTGAGAACCTGGGGGTGCAGACCTGCCCTCAAGAAGCTCACAGTTTAACGGGAAAGAGGTATGCGAAAACAGCGAAGTTGCAAGTGCTGTGGGGGGCATGGTTAGAATGAGATGAATTCTATGTGGTGGGTCCCCAAAGCCTTCACACATGATGTCTGAGCACCTGTTCTATACCAGACACTGTACAAGACATTGGAGATAAAACACAAGCCACAGTCTTTGCTGCAGGAGGACCTGGCTCTGTGTGTGTGTGTGTGTGTGTGTGTGTGTGTGTGTGTGTGTGTGTGTAGGTTGGGGAAAGGATGAAGTCATGCATTTCATCTGGGACATGTTGGTTCTGAAGGGCCTTTTGCACATCCAGGTGTAGATGGCAGGTAGTCAGTCTGATGCGGGAGTCTGGAGCTTAGGGGAGAGGCTTGAGCACGAGCCAGCCTTGGACAGGATCTTCGAAACCATGAACACAACTGTGATCTCCTAGAGAGGGAAGACTGCCCAGGACCAAGCTTAGAAGAAGAGACACAGCTGGGAAGGAGGAGCCAGCACCAACCTATCTAAAGCACCAGAATTAGGGAGTAGAAGCAGAGATTGACGCATGTGCCTGTTTGTGTATTCAATATTATTAGACTTCTCTGGCTTATTCTCTTACAGGCCTTTGCTCACATAAGCTTTGTCTCATTGGAAGTGTTTAGGCATGAAAAGAACTTGAAATAGAAGAGATTTTTTAAAAATCTGATTTCATGTTGTATCAGTGTTCTCGAGTTATCTGTGACATACTTCTTCCCAAACACAGTAACTTCCTCCATCACCGCTTGACAACTAGACTGTTAGTGCTGCTTTTTTCCTTCTCTCTGATCTTAATAGTGCGTTATCTTCCCAGGAGAGCTATAGTTGGAATTGATTCATGGCGGGGAATTTGGGGGCTGGCTTTAGTGTAATGTTGAACACTGATGCCTCACTAAGTCACCCATCCTTTATTCAGAAATTAGATGTCTATTCTACTGTCTGTTATCTGTTCTTCTCTAAAATGGAAAAATGTGAGCATTGCTCAAAATATCCTTCAATGCAGAGGCATTTCCTCCCTCCCTTCACAAATACTTACTGCCATGTGACATCAACTATGACAGTCCCTGGGGAGATAGTAGTGAGCAGAGCACATATGGGCCATGCCCTGAAAAGCTTACAGTCTAGCATGGGAGTCAGAAGTGAAATATTGCACAGAAAGGTATGAAAATAGTGATGATTGCACCAGTGGAAGACCAGGGTAATGTGAACCCATAAGAGCAGAGGGTGGAAACTTGTTTGGGATTGGTACATATTAATTCTGGGTACTTGTGAAAGTAACTGCTGCTGGCTGTGGCCTGCCAATGAGCTATCTTTATTAGAAACAGAAGTCATAAATTATATCAAATAACCCCTCACCCAGCACCAAGGCATGGCTGCTCTTCAAAACATACGTGAGCAAATTAAGGAGAATGTGGGAAGGGGGACAAAAACAGCCTGCTTCCTGGGGACATCACCCATGATATTGGCCTGATAGGTTCCCACACATCTTTTTCCTTGGAAATACATAAATTTACATCTCAGTTAAAGCTACAAGAAGTCACATTCCATATTTATCACCATTGAAAACTGCCTACCAAGCTCATTCAGCAGGTGCCTCTTCCAGGGCTTTAGCAGGCCTGACCACCCCCAGTGTCTTGATCCCTGTGCCAGTGCTGCACGAGGGCTTTGCAGACGTGCCAGCAGATACTAGTTTTCTCCATTGCTAGCCAAAAACTCAGCTTCTTCTAAAGTGTTTTATTGTATCCCTAGTAGTTTGTGTGTTTTTTATTTAAGCCCAGTGCAGTAATAGATTCCTTATTGCCCCTGGAGAAAACGGTTTGAGCCTTTTTTAAAATTTTCATTCATTAAAATACAGACACGTTTAAAGGAATATTTTTTTAATGTTTGTTTATTTTTAAGAGAGTGTGAGCTGGGGAGGGACAGAGGAAGAGGGAGGCAAAGAATCCAAAGTGGGCTCTGCACAGATAGTAGCAAGCCCAGTGTGGGGCTCAAACTCCCAAACCGTGAGATCATGACCTGAGCCGAAGTCGGATGTTCAACTGACTAAGTCACCCAGGCGTTTCTAAAGGAATGTTTGATGGACAGTTGATTTATTCTAAAACAGCTCTGTAAATTCTGTGAGTGTTTTGCTACTTAAATGAAATATATCTTCCCCTGCAATTAATCTATCTTAATAGTCAGGATTTATGTACTAAAAATGCCTTTTGATGGTCACTGACTTTATTTAATAATAAATATTATTAAGTGCCCTCTGTACCCAAAGTTGTTAGGTGCCAGGGAGATAGCTGTGGACAGTCTTTGCCCCCAAGGAGCTTAATGTCAAAATCTTAATGGCAAAAGGAGGCAAGGACCCAACACACCCTAAATAACTTTCCCTCTGTGTAAATCCTAGTCTTTCCAGTAAGAGAGCCCGGTGGTCTGATCACCTAATGGCCTTGTCAACTAACTTGACCTCTCAGGTTGTTTCTGCATCTGTAAGATGGAAAGACTTTGCCTGCTTCTGAACCTGATCAGTTGCTGATGGACACAAGGATCTCATTAAACACAAAAGATACAAAGTTTTAAATGCCAACAGATGCAGAAACTACCACCACCCAAAACAGAAGAGAACATGGTGTACTCCCCCTGGAGGTCCTGCTTCCCGTGGGGTCGGTCATCCCGCTAGAAGACACAGCTCATGTCAGGGGGCTTCGAGCAGCTGTGAGATGGTGCCTCTGTTGCTCCGATGAAGGGGGGCTAACCCCTCCTCTGCCCTGCCTGTGCTTCAGCTCTGCCCATGCACTTGCCTGCACCCCCAGCACATTCCTGCGTGTGCGCCCCAGACCAGGTGAAGTGAGGGTGTCCGGCCCATCTGAGCTCTCTATCAACAGTGCTGGTACTTAACTCCCAGGATTATTTTGACAATACGTGAGGTAAAGCTCTTAATATAGTGCTTAGCACAAAGTAAGCACTCAGTGAATGTGTTAATACTGTTAATACATTATAACATTAATTATTAATACAAAAGACTGTTCCTCTTAGTCAAATAAAACATTAGACAAACTATTTCAGGAGCATCTTTTCCAAATGTGGTTAGATACCCTGCTTATATAACCAAATATATTTTCTCTTTGGTCAAACATACACCTGAAGTTTTTCTTCTCAATTTGAGAAATTCTTACCAAACCTCCGCTGCTGCTTTTTTTCATTCAAGAAAAATAAATATTACCCTCTTCCTAACCCTCCTTCTCCAACCAAAAGAACAAAACATGCAAAAAAACAAAAACAGCAAAAAGACAGTGATTTTGCTGGTATTTGTAAATATCCATACTCCATAACAAATGTGTTTATTTTGCCATTAGTCACATTTCAGTATTAGAGGACTAAAATGCTTGCAAGTTAATAGCCAGCTAAGTTTCTGGTACTTAATGCTTTGTGTATCGCCTCAGCTACTTAACCTCTCTGTTTTTTGAGTCCTAAATATATTTTGTACATCTTAGCAAGTTAAGGTGATGAGTTTTGCCAGAAACCGCAGTCCTTTCTCCTGGTCCGTCAAGGGTTCCCGTCCTTGGTTGCAGGTGCTGTTTGGCACGGCCGACGGGCAGGTGATCGTCATGGACTGCCACGGCAGGATGCTGGCCCACGTGCTCCTGCACGAGTCCGACGGCATCCTCAGCATGTCCTGGAACTGCCCCGCCTTCCTGGTGGAGGACAGCAGCGAGAGCGACACGGACTCAGACGACTACTCCCCACCCCAAGGTAGGAAGCCGGAGGAGGAGGGTGAAGTCCACCACAGGTGCAGCCCCCTGACCCACTGGGAAGAGCTCCGGTGAAGCACAAGGCAGGGCAGCCTGACGTCTGGTCTTGATTCGGCTGTCTTCCCTCTGCCATCCCTTTTCTCAGAATCACCGCGCACGTGGATGAAGCTCCGTTGGCTTAGGTTTCGCTAGACATGAAATGACCCTTTTCATGTCCCTAGGGAGTTGTGGGGCTTAGCTGCTTAGCAAGAATAAAGAGAGCTGGAGACGAGAAATGCTGTGCTATTACTATAACTTAATCTGTGGTGTTTCAAATCCCTAATGTCATTAAAACCTGTAGCTTTAGTTGTGTGAGAAAAGGATTAGTTTTGCCTGTAATGCAGGCCAGTACATGGGGCTGCTGTCCATGCCCCTTTTCTGTCTTTTGGGGGGAAACTTCCTTTTCTCAGTTCAGAAGAACCTGTCTTCCCCTGTAAGTCTCACAGCAATGTCAGTTTAGATTAATTGGCATCTAGTTTTTTAATATTTGGACCTAAGGAAAGGTTTCAGACTCTTGGTGGGGATGATTTCAGACTCCAGCCTCCTTCACTTTTGCAGTGCATTTTATCTCCCACACATGTGACAGACACACCTCCCACATACACACACAAAAAGCCAGAAACCTTTGATGTTGATGCTGGCCGTCACCAACAGCAGCATTCGTCATTGGCCTACTCAGGACCATGGCACTTCCCTAGTACCCCATTCCTCTTTTTTTTTTTTTTTTTTTTTTAAAGGAAAAATACATTGTGAAATAGTAGGAGATCAGACTTGGTCATACTGCTGCAGAACTTCTGTCCTCGCACTGCTCCCCTCTCCGGTGACTGTGGGCACGTTCATCCTGTGAGCTGCTGGTCCGGGGAATAGATCTTTAACTGTGTCCCCCATTGGCATCTACCCCCATTGGTACTTGGAATGCTCTCATTTTGTCCCAGACATGATATAAGACATGATGCTTCCCAGAGACATTCACGCATTCGTTCAGTCGTTTGTTTAAGGAGATGACCATTTTCACATGAAGGAAACTTTAACAATTTTTTTTAACGTTTATTTATCGTTGAGAGACAGAACATGAGCATGGGAGGGGCAGAGAGAGGGGAAGACACAGAATCTGAAGCAGGCTCCAGGCTCTGAGCTGCCAGCAGAGAGCCTGACATGGGACTCGAACTCACAAGCATGAGATCATGACCCGAGCCGAAGTTGGTTGCTTAACCGACTGAGCCACCCAGGCGCCCCACATGAAAGAAACTTTAGATCTGTTGGGGGTAGTGTTTCAGGGTGCATGGGGTTGGGGGAAGGAGAATGTACTTCCATCTGAGACATAAACATACCCTTTCCTAGTAAGGCCCCAACCTGAGTGAAGTATTGACTATTTCTCCAGCCTCATAGTAATAAAGTCCGTGTTATACAAGGTTGGATACTTGTCAGCCCACTTTTAAAACAGAACTTTACTAGATTGACTGCAGATTCACTTAGCCCCATGTATTATGGGAAAAAAACAAGATCTAGAGAGCAAGTTACAAAGCAGGTTCAGAATGAGTCCAAGGATAGAATTTAGACCCCGGCTGCTGCTTTAACACATTTCCCTTCTCAGAGCCATGCGGCAATTTGGAGGATGACTGGGATTTGCCTTTCACATAGAGCTGGGTTTTTCTTGGTGGCCTAGGGGATTTGAGCACAGAGGTAGGTACGTACAGCATCTGAAAGTGAAGCAGAGGAAAGTAATACCTGAGGATCCTCCACAGGCAGGGCTGAGGTGGGGCGAGTGTGCGGATGTCAGGCCAGCCCACTCCGGATGGCTCCCAGGGATGAACTCGGCATGGGTATGAGGCCTGCAGGGGGCCTTCTGAAAGAGCCCTCATTTATCTTGGCCTGTGGGAGGGACTGACTTTTACTTTTGAAGCAGCATGTGGAAGAATCCAGAACATGACCCATCACAGTTCTTCCTTAGCATCCATGAGTACTCCTTGAACTTACAGAGCGGAATTTTCTTTATACTGGCTGTGCACTGCAGATGCAGCAGAATTGTTTATGAGCCACAGCCAACCTTGGCTTTCTCTCCAGGTTTGGAGTCTCTTACAGTAAAAACTTACTCGTTGTGGCTGCTGTGGCTCCCTATTTCCTATAATGTCCAATGAAAGGGCATTAGTGTTGAAAAGCAACTTTTCTCTGTACATTGGACCAAGATTAAGAAATTGTTTTCATCCTTCTTTCCACCATCCTTACGTGTTATGTGACGTTAAAATAATAATTTATGTTTACACATCATTAGAAACATGACGCATTAACACATGAGTTAATAATCTTCACATGTGTTCTCATCACCATACCGCAGAGCCCAAGGAGCCCCAGCTGGTGCCTCCGGGGCTGTCTGTTCCCGTCCTGCTTCTCATTCCAGGGTTCCCCGGTGGCGCTCTTCCTGACAGCCCCACGTAGTTCCTGAGTGCTATGTACAGTGTTGCCTTACTCAGTGACATCCCAGTCCAGAGTCTGGTCTGCAGTGTCAGGCAGTTGTTAAAGCCCTCTGCCAGACTGCAGCAGTGTGTCCTAGATTTGGGTCATGTGTGCCTTGCCTCCTTTTTACTCAGCACTTTTGTCCCGGCAGATGGTCCAGCAGCGTATCCCATCCCGGTGCAGAACATCAAGCCGCTGCTCACTGTCAGCTTCACCTCGGGGGACATCAGCTTAATGAACAACTACGACGACTTGTCTCCTACTGTCATCCGCTCAGGGCTGAAAGGTACAGAAGGCTGCACGTGACCCCAAGCCCACACATCAGCCCTGTGTGCGTTTGCCTTCCGGTGGGTGTCCCGCACCCAGTACTTATCCATTCCCGCCCGTCCGTGGGCTTAATGGAGTCTGTTAATGAAGGCCACTTCCTTTTGCTCCTCTGCTTATGTGACAAGTTGACACCTAGGCTTATCTTGAGGAGGGATTCCTGACAGTCTTCGCCTTTCTGTCTTTACCTACTACGACGAGTAACCCTCTCTTGGGTGTATGTGTTTGCCTCTGGCTAACATATGATGTCAGTACAGTATTGGACCTCAGCACCTGCCGTTCCTGGGGCAGCAGACCCAGCACGGCAGTTTTACAGAAGCCCCTGTTACTTTGAGGCGTGTTAAGACACCGATGGTTGTGCGGTAAAGTCCCCGCAGCTGCAGGACTGAGGCATTGATGTAAGCAGCAACCGCCAAATGCTGACTTCCCTGACAGATGTTATGAAATGTGTTCTCTCACAAGAAAATCGCTGTCCATAGGCATTTGGCATGTTCTGAATTTTGCAATTCAAGAATATTTACTCACATTGTGACCCTGATGAGTTCTTTGGAAAAACAGTTCTGTCTCTTCAGGATTAAATGGTATGGTGTAGAAGTCCCTGGATTGCCTTTGGTCTCAAAGTGCAAGGGACCTGCTATAATCCGAATGGAAGACCAGGGGTAAACCAGAACGTGCAGTTCAAGTTACTACTGTCACTCAGAACTTGCCTCAGACCAGAGAGTTGTGTCATGTGCTTCCTGTCTGAATTACTCAGGGATCGCAGGGATGATAATGGAGACTCAAGTCCGTATACTTAACTGTTGATTGGAGTGCATCATACCTGTCTGCCTGCCCCTAAGCACTTCTTGATTCCATTTTAAAACTATAGAATATTCTTACAAGTTCTCCTTTTTGTGGGTATCCCATTTTGCTGTTTCAGATCTATAATTGTGAGGAATTATTTAGCCTAAACTCTTGAGGGACGTGAACTATGTAGAAGTCCCTCTTTATACCACAAATAGGCTCCTTTAGAAGCTGAGTAAATACTTCTGTGTGTGTATGATGATGATGATGAACTTACATTCCTTGGTCTTTTTTGCAAGTTCTTTTCTGAGTGTTCTGACCTTTGTGGAGCTAACATGCAGGGGTGGTCATCATAAATTCTCACATATGTTTGGTTGTCCAGGCTCTTCTTTTCTTCTTCAGAAATTCTACTTTTAAACCTTCAACTAAGTTTATTAATTCCTCAGAACCTGCCCCTAGTCCTGGAGCCCTGAACTTTGTTCTCTGACACGTGTCTGATCAGGACTGAAATTAACATATTTACCAGTCAGTTCCCTTGTATTTCTCATATGGCAAATTTTTCAGAATCTTTGTCATCTTGCTTACCTGTGGAAACTTTTTTTAATTCCTTGAATGTGTTGTTTTGTTTTCTGTCTGTCAAACTAGATTGCACTGGAGCAGCACTTCTGACACATCCCCACCAAGCCTGTGGTGGAAGGTTAGGAACGCATAGGAGGTGGCTTGTGAAGGTGACCCTGGGTGGCCTTCCCAAGTGTGAAAGTTTTTGACTTGAGTTTCATGTTAAAAATACAGGCAAATTTAGCATTCTTCCCATTGCCTGACTAGAAATCTAAATCTAATCTAAGTCTTTCACACTTCCATGGGGGGACATGCTTTTGCACGGAGTCGTCTTAATTGCAGGAAGTTAGGTGAAATTTAAGTGAGCTGATGTCATCTGATCGGCGCTGGATGTAGGCAGTTTCTCTTTCTGTCTTGGTTTCAGAATATTATGAGGACTCAGTCTTACATGTGCTATCAACGGCAGCAGGTTGTTTTGTTTCGTTTTGTTTTGTTTTGTTTTGTTTTGTTTTCTGTCCACGACTTCATGGGGTAAATACTAGGAAGAGATCGCCAGAATCTGCCAAGGTGGCGTGTGGCAACTTGCTCCGTCCATGGTCATCTGTCCTGTGGTGGACAGGTCGGTCAATTGTCATATAGGGTGGACTGAAATGGGTTAGTCTTTCTCTGTTACTGTCTCCAAGAAATATCATCAGAGAGCTTCTCCAGTGAAGAAACATGACTCATGATATTTTCTGCTTTATCACCAACATTGTAATTTATGTTGTTGCCAAAGAACAGAGAATGGCAGATAGCTCACGGTCCCTGTGATCACCGTCTTCTCCGCCACCTGTTACACTGTGTTTTGATTGCAGATTCATAGGGTGGTGGGTGATTTTGTTTTGCAGATGTTTGCTGAGGAGATTCTGCCTTAAAGAAGAATCTGCTAAGTATCCCAACTTAGGGGACTTCTCTTTATCACATAGTGAACCATAAATTAGTACACCTTATTTGGGGTTTTTACCTTTTGTAGTTACTGTACTTTTCATTGAGAATGTAGGGGAAGAAAGACTGTTTTCCCCCTACAGATCTTAGGTTTTCCGACTGGGACCCTATAAATTACACTGACCAAAGACAGGTTGACTAGAGAAAAAGAAACAAGTTTATTAACACATGCATTGCATTTAGCTGTAGAAGCTTTCAGAGATGAGTAACTCAAATGGGTGGGTAGAGCTTGGGCTTATATTGCATATTAACAGCAGAACAGAACATTTTTGGAAAAGTGACAAGACAAAGGGAAAGGACTTAAAGTTTCTAGGGTAGCAGATTGTGGGAAGGTAAACAGGGAGGACTAATGGAAGATAACGGCCAGTTCCTGAAGTTTGTCATGTAAATTCTTCTGGAGCTGTGTGTGGGCTAATGAGGGTCCAGAGTTGTCTCCAGTGATTAGCTTCTGTCCTTCCTGGTCAGGGGGCAGAGTGGGCAAGTGCCTGCACAAATTTACACCCTGCTTTTAGGCAAATAGGGGAAAAGAGAGAGCTTTTTTTGTATCTGCTGTTTCTCAGTTGCCTTCAGCTCAAAATAGTTTTTATATGCCGGTGTGGCGTATTTTGAGGTAGCATATTCTCTTACCCTTCAAGGAAAAAACAATTCAGTGATGCGCTCAGAAACTCTGACCTAGACACTTCATCCGTTGCAGTAAAGCAAGCTCTCAAAGGCACTGCTCATTTCACCCACATTTGTCTTAAAATCAAAGAATTTAAACTCCTAGGGTTTCTTTGTTTTACAGAATTTCCTCTTTTTGACACTTCATTGCACCATACTGGTAAAAGTCAAGAGCGGGTTTTGAAGGAGAGTGGTTCCAGTCAGTGGTGCTGTCTGCTCCTGCAGTCTGTGCTGATAGAGGTTGGATCCATCGTCCTCACTGAATACACGCCGGTGTTGTTCAGTCCTCCATATGTTCCCAGAAGCACTGTTATTAAAGAAAATAAGTACATGTTATTTTACCATCACACACTTTGCTACTTAATTTGTTTCTCCTTTGTGCACATGCTCATTTTCTCTTTCTCAACACAAAATCCACGTGTACACACACAAGTACACATGTATCTAATGACCAATAGATGAATCATTAACGTGGGCATCCAAGAGACAAAGGCCCCTGTGAACCTCACTCAGGCTTCCAACCAGCCGCTCAAGTACATGTGGTGTTTGGTAAGAGCGCTATTCTTTCTCCACGAATACTTGGCTGCCTGTTTTTGACCCAGCACTAACTCCACACAAGGGGCTCTTGTTAATATAAAAGGACCAAATTTTCTCACCGCACACTACAAGTCAAATTTTGACTCTTCCGGCTCTTACCAAGAAAGATCCATAAGATTGTCTAGCTAAAGTAGAATTGTGTGACTCTGCTAATTTTTTTGTGTATAAAATGTTTAAGAGACCAAAAATCCACAGACACTTCAAAATCATCAAGAGCAGGGCGCCTCGCTGGCTCAGCCAGTAGAGCATATGACTCTTGATATCAGGGTCATGGGTTCGAGCCCCATGTTCAGCATAGAGATTACTTTTAAAAAATAAAGGAAAATCAGTGCTTTAGGAGGATGGGCCTCTTTTGTGCCTTGGAACTCCCCACATCCTTAGAGACTCTGCTGAGAGCTTCAGGAAAAGTGAAAAGAGGCTTAGTTCCTTCCTTCTGGCTTATATTTTGACACAAGTTTTTAGAGGCTTAGAAACTGTGAAATTATTACTAAAAGATCGGGCAAAGGCATTGGGGATTATTTTCTATTCTAATATAAACTTATAAAAACTTCCTGGTACAGGAAAGTTTCTGTCCTGACCACATCTAGGCTTCTGTTTCCTTCCTTATGGAAGTGAAATCTAGAAAGTGAATAAATATGTGATTTTTCTTTGATTTTGTAGTAATTTATGCGGATTTTACAGTCCCACCCTGGGGATTCAGCCCCTGTGGAGGTACTCACACAGCCCTGGTTGCCACTGAACAGTCCGTGGTTTTTCTTTCTTACTCCCACTCCTGAATTCCTTGTGATGGGGTTTTCTGGGGTAAGCTGGCCTCCCCTGGTGAGCACCTGCCCATCATGTGCATCAGGACTGGCTCAGGCCCTTGATGCCGCTGGTTGTGTCATCGTCGGAACAAGAAGTGGTGTTACTCCTGTAGAACTTGTTCTCTTTTAAGCAGTGACTTGGCTGTGGAGACCACGGCTGTCTCAGTATGACTTGGTGACTGTGGGGACGAGCTCCCTGGGCGTCTGCTTTGTGGCTGCGCGGACTCCTGCTCCCCGGGCCCGGGCGCCCGTGTGGGGAGCAGAGCCTCTGGTCGCCGAGCAGTGTCTGAGCAGACTGTGTGTCTGTGCCAGCCCCTACGGGGACAGCAGCCCAGCAGCAGCCCACTTTTCTGAGGGGCAAGTTCAAAGAATCTTACTAAAACAATAGCAAGAAGAACGGTGCGGGTTCGTCACTCACCACCTGACCAAAGCGGGTTAGCGGCAGAACCGCAGGAATTGGGTGCTGTCCTCTTCGTTTATGCAGTTGCAGGGACGCTGTCATCCTAAACAACTGCAGGCTCTGCTTGTGTCACCTTTACCTGTCAGCATTAGTGGCTCTTCCTCTTGACTTCCTTGTGTTGCCAAAACTGTCATCCAGAGAAGGTCATTTCAGTTTCATTGTCATGGCCGGCTTCTCACCAGAGCACCTGAGCCCTTTGGATACCCGAGCACAGTGAAATACGTGCACAAATCCTCAAGCCTTCCCCCCTCTCATCTTTTTTGAGATCTTACTCACCAGGATATTTGGGTGATGCTTTTAACTTATTTTTCATTTCCTGGTTTGTACTTGTCCTTATTCATATCCTTTTATAAGAAAAGGGGGGGGGGAGCTCCTTTTATTGATGCTTTCACTGACTCAGATTGTAGAGATTTTTCGTTCTGTGTTTGTAGCTGGGTTCACTCAGCCCTCTGCTACCTCCGTCTCTAGTTCCTGTCGGTGGCTCACCTGATGGGCTGGCTCTCGCTTCCCTGGGTCCAGGGAGCCATCTTGTCCTGGGACCACAGTCTGGTCTTCAAAGGAAGTCACAGAGCACTGGTGACCTCAGAATGTGCTGTTACTAACATCAGAGTCGGCACCGCGTGTGAATAAGAGCAAGGTGCTGTGATGGTTTGTGACCTGATGGAGCCCAGGCCCTGCTGGCATCTGGTCCCGGCTCTGAGATGCGTCCTGTCGTGACAGGGCACCGTCAGCTCCGTCCAGCCTCTCTCAGGCCTCTGAGTTCTGGATATCAGTGCTCTCTGTATGAGCCAGATAGGGTTCTGGGGCCTTGATGGAGAAGAACTATGCTCTAAATCTTATTAGTACTATTAGCTTGTTTTACCAGCCAGAATAAGTAAATTGCCACGTTGGGATTTGACCAACCCTTTCATAGCCATTTTTATAGGTACTGAGTGGCTTGGTAGGTGGGCAGCACATCTCCAGGGTGAAAATTTCTGACAATTTCTGACAACACGCCATCCAACAGAAGTATTTATCTTGTTTTCTAAGCCCTCATAACATCCCAATGTGGAATAAAAGTCAAGGCCTTCATATGCAGATAAGTCCTTTATGTGAACTTTATCTGCCCAGTGGTGCACAGAAATCAAATGAATATAAACTTAGAATTTGCTCTTGACTTACTTTTTGCATTTGTATACTCTTAGAATCATCTCTGAGGGCAGGGACACAAGCAGCAGATGGAGAGTCATGGGATTAATGATCTTACCTGCTCCCTCAGATTTCTGCACATCCCTCGACGGTAATGCCGGTGTTGAAGTTAGGTATTTAACATGCCGGCTTCGTCACGTGGTTTGGCCTGATACAGCTGTGTGTCAGGGAGCTGTGCTCCCCATCCATGTGATAGACACCTGTTTAAATAGAGTCTGTACTGTCTTCAGAGAAACGGGTAGCTATTGTCTTCGTGAGAGAAAGGGTAAGAGCTGCCATTGTATTTGCTCAGCAGCTCTGTTTTCTAAACGACTTCAGTGAAGGTTCAGGGAGGGTCACATCCTCATGCTGACTGTCTTCTTTGTGATTTCAGAGGTGGTGGCCCAGTGGTGCACACAGGGAGACCTCCTGGCCGTCTCTGGCATGGAACGGCAGACCCAGCTCGGTGACCTCCCCAATGGCCCTCTTCTGAAGAGTGCCATGGTCAAGTTCTACAATGTCCGCGGGGAGCACATCTTCACCCTGGACACGCTTGTGCAAGTAAGGATGTGTGTCAGACCTTCATTGTAACGCCACTGTGTTAGTATGCTTTCCGGGCTCCATTAAATACTGTGAGGTGGCTATAGTTCCTATAATTATCTTCGACAGATTTTAATCTTTCGTTGACCTTGATTAAATTATGGAGTGTAAGCCAGAAGACATAAAGGAGAAACATGTTTTTGCCTTTAACCAAAATACTTTATTACATCCCCCACTGAAAAGAGTGGACAGTGAGTAAGCAGAGGGAGCTGGTATTTATCGTCAGGCAGAAATTAGCACTTACAGAAGTATGCGCTGAATCTTCATTTATTCACTCTGATGTTATGTTTTCTATGCCAGTAATGTACTTCTGCATCTTAGCTAAATGACTGTTAAACAGTAAGTAAGAAAGCTTAAAGATCTTTGGGAAAGAAAGGTAGCCCTTTTCTATTTGTTTTTATTTCCCAGAGATCTGTAGACCACTTCATTTCTGATTTGGATCAGCTCTCGTGGAGGACGAAATTCTTAGTGGGGTGTAGTGGAGACAGGTCTGAGAGTGAGTTGATTGACGGGGGCAATAATAAACTAGAGACTTCTTTTCTAACCTTACCCAGCTCAAAGAGGCAGGTATACCAGATTCGGGGAAATTTGCAATTAGATGCAGACATTGATTATTTAAATATAGCTCTCTTTTTTTGGTTGTGGAAAAACACACATAATAGAATTTGTAGTCTTAATCATTTTTAAGTGTATAGTTCAGTATTAATTGTATTACGTTATTGCGCAACCAATCTCCGAACGTTTTCATCTTAACAAAACTGAAACTGCAGGTGCGTTGTCTGGAACATAGTAGGTGCTCAGTAAATATTTGCTTGGTGGATTGATGGACGGACAGTTGTCAACATATGCTCTTTTTAGTGCTTTCTGCTGATAGTTTGAACCAGGAGGCTATGTGCCTTCTCACTCAGATGTCATGCTGACTTTTATCCCTACCCTGACAGGTAGGAGAGGATGGGCATTTCCAGCTCTTTCTGAGTTAATAAGGCTTTTACAGTTATTAAAAAACTTCTGTGTGAATTGAAGTCATGAAACACACTCCCAGTATATTCAGTGTTGTCCACTCTTCAGTCTGACTCAGGGCACCCCTCCTGCTGGTATTCTGTTCCTTCCACAAGGATTGCCCTCCCTGCCATCTCAGCTGGGGGAAACCATCCTTAACGCCAGCACGGTCACATCCTTATGTAAATCTGCCCAACAGCTGCAACCCCTCTTCTCCATGAAGCATCCCCCTGGGATGTTTGATGCTTCTGATATTTATTACGCTTTTCTGTCTACTTGTCTTACCTTCTTGAAGTCAAAGACCACATTTTCTTCATTTCTTTGAAATGCCTGGAATATGATAGACACTCAACAGCCTCAACCAGTGTAGAAGTTCTCACCAACTGTAACATACAACTGTGAAACTAACATAGGTCTTGAATTTTAACTGTTTGGGGCTCAGAGATAGGAAGGGAGCTTAGCTGATCATCCTTTTGGGAAAAATATCCATATAGTGTCTCAGAATTTTAATAAATTATTCGTTTTTTCATTTGAGGATCTGTTTAAACCACTGAAAAAAATTGCCTCAATAATACAAAGTAAAGTAATGGTGTTACTAAAAATCAAGTACAACAGGGTGCCTGGGTGGCTCAGTCGGTTGAATAACCAACTCTTGATTGTGGCTCAGGTCATGATCCCAGGGTCAGTGGATTAAGCCCTACATCAGGCTCTGCAGCTGAGTGCAGAGCCTGCTCAGGATTCTCTCCCTCCCTCCCTCCCTCCCTCCCTCCCTCTTGCCCTCTCCTCCCCCCCCCCACTCCCCCACTCATGCTCTCTCTTTCTCTCTAAAAAAAAATAAATAAAATTTAAAAAATCAAGTACAACATTAATTATAGAGAGCACCAACTTTTTTCTGTAATGATTCTAAAATTACATGTTATCTGTGCTGTTTCAAGTTGTCCAAGGGCAGGGACATTTTTATAGCAGGAAGGAAGTTAGGAAATTTATTGGGCTGTTTATAGAAAGAACTAAATGCAATTTAGATTGGATAATTTATTTCCAAGTTAATTAGATTGTAGGTTATTGCGTACAAAGCCGTTGCTGGGCACAAACTTGCGGCAGCCTCAGCTTTAAAATGGATTCTCCTGTTTTACTCATAACAGCAATGCCCATGGCTGAAGCTCTTCAAAGGAAATACACTGCGATTCATTTTCCTTTCTTTTCCTTTCCTTTCTACCTGTTGTAGTTGAAAATCCTGTAATTTACCTCATTAGCTATTTCTGGGACCATCTATATGTAGTTGCATATCTGTTCATCTACAGCAGATGTTTAGAGTTCGCATTACTGACTGAAGTTTGCAGGCTTCAGTAATTTGGGTTGTTGGTTGGTTGGTTGGTTTTGTTGTGGCTTTATGAATGTTTGTTTGCATTAAAGGCATGTTGGAGGAGTCAGCTTATATTCTGTAAGGTTCCTTTGTTGATATAAGATAATTAGGGTAAAATGTTAAGAGAGAAGGGAGAGGAAGAGATGGATGTGGAAACTGAAAAGTGAAATGAGAGATTGCAGGTATGGTCATAGACTCTGTACGCAAGAAGGAGAGTCTGTTAGAAGGGGTATATATTGACCCTCTTTGTTGAGGACTAACTGTACCTATTCTTTTAAAAAAAAAAAATTTGTTTAACGTTTATTCATTTTTGAGAGACAGAGAGAGACAGAGCATGAGTGGGGAAGGGGCAGAGAGAGGGAGACACAGAATCTGAAACAGGCTCCAGGCTCTGAGCTGTCAGCGCAGAGCCCCGACGCGGGGCTTGAACTCACGGACTGTGAGATCATGACCTGAGCCGAAGTCGGACGCTCAACTGACTGAGCCACCCAGGTGCCCCTATACCTATTCTTACGAAGCTGCCACAGGAGTGCTTTTTCCATGGTTTGCTAGAAATGGATGAGAAGAAAGTCCTTCCTGGGATTGTCAGCTTTGAAAATATAAGAATGGTGCATTTTCTGAAACTGCAGTTTGGGTGCCTGAATGCTGAGCTGGCTTTTACTAGTTACTGCCCCTTAGTCAGCGGCCAAATCATTACAGCTTAATATTCAAAACTGTCCGTGGCTCCACCAACACAGTTTGATGGTGACCAGTCACCCAACTTGGTCTGTTTAACAGTGAACTGTTCTAGGAGGCTTTCTTTCTTTGTACACACTTGTACAAACATTAGACATTCCCTTTGTACACACCTTTACAGACATTATACACATCCCCTTCCAATGTTAGACATTGGAGCGCATTTCCTCTAAGACAGAAAACATTCTACTTCCTAGGGAAGCTGTGGAAAGGAGGGGCAGAGCTGCCCTGGCTGTAGGAGCCTGGGAGGGCCCTCTGGCACCCACAGGGTCAGACAGCTCCATGGGCTGGTCCCTGGTCCTCAGCTGGGAGCCCTCATCAGCCAGAAACAGTGGGTTCGGACAGCCTCACTGTCCCTCTCTTGGGACAGCGGATTTAACCCTTTTGTTGTCTTTCTTGAGCAGCTTATCTTTTTTTTTTTTTTTAATTTTGTTTTTTCAACGTTTATTTATTTTTGGGACAGAGAGAGACAGAGCATGAACGGGGGAGGGGCAGAGAGAGAGGGAGACACAGAATCGGAAACAGGCTCCAGGCTCTGAGCCATCAGCCCAGAGCCTGACGCGGGGCTCGAACTCACGGACCGCGAGATCGTGACCTGGCTGAAGTCGGACGCTTAACCGACTGCGCCACCCAGGCGCCCCGAGCAGCTTATCTTTAATATGGAAAGAACAGCCCGTTTTTCATTCCTCTTAGATTTTTAGAGGACTGCATGCAACTCACTGCAGTATACAAAAATAGTAATATGGTGAGGAAGCTTTCAATTTTTTAAAATAAACAGACTGCCCGTGTCAGTCAGGCCTCTGCTAAAACTACCTCCTTGGAGCAGCCTTCTCTGCCCCCCTTTGTCTGAAACGACTGCCTTGCTCTTTCTCAAGGCCCCTATCCTGACATGATCAGCGTGGTCAGGTACTCTCCATCAGAGAGACTAAGATGTGCATCTCTCTTCCTGTCCTACCTCACAGTGTCAGCTCCATGAGGGCAGGGATTTTGTTTTATTCTGCCCTCTTGGAATGTGTGTGGCCCATTGTAGACATTTGACAGACAGCTAACTGGATGGCTGACTGGCAGCACAGTAGATGAACAAATGCCCAGATGAGTGTGCGGTGTGCTTCGTGGGCAGCAGGAGGTGAGGCTCGCGAGTGTGTGGCATGTCTTCATGTGCCAGAAGGGACTGAAACTGACCATTTACTAATAAAGTCCCTGTGCTATAGCCAAGGACAGAAGAGGAGCAGACTCACTTGCCTCCCTCACGTGGATCGGCATCAGACAGCGAGACAGGCCGGTCCTCAAGTGGTCAACTTGACTGTGCGTTAACCACTCACCAGACCTCCGTACAAATAGCATCTCTCTCCAGCTAATACCTCTCCTTGTTTCATCAAACTCACCGGAGCCCTAGATTTCTACTACACTGATGCTCCCCGAAATGTAGCTCACGTTCTTGTCCTTTTGCTTTGGATTTAGACATGCAAAGTATGTGAACTTGCCCACACAAATTAAGATTTGAATGTTACCAACTTCACAATTCTGGCCATCAGTTCTAAAAATAGTCATTTTGTGTGATTTGAGAGAGATTAAGTCTGCAGATTTACAGCTGAGTTTTTCCCTCGCAGACAGCAACTGTTCAAAAGCATTAATCTGTGGGAGTTGTCTTAGTGTGCACCCGTATCTGTTCCCGGGTTTATTGGGATTAAACATTTGGTACGTTTCTCTTCTGCTGCGGCCAATCCTGGTAGGTGGGCAATTCTTAGGGAAGATGGCGCTCTGTGGGCAGGCAGTGGATTCATGCTCTGCTGGCACCCCTGATCCTCGGGGAATGGAGGGCAGAAGTCCCTGACTGGGGGGCAGCTGAATCAAGACACCCCCAGCCCACATCTGTGGCATGTGCGCCTTGCGTCTTATTGTTTCCAAAACAACAGAACATTTTTAGGGAGGGTTTTGTAGGCTGAAGTACCCATCAACAGCACAGGAAAATCAGCACCAGAAGGAAATGAGACATTAAAAAAATAAGATGACATATTTAAAAAAAGTATAAAGTATTCAAAAGGGTATAAAAGGATTTTGTGTGTGGTTTCCTCTTTATTTGTTTATTTTCAGCTCTATTGAGATATAGGTGACATGAATGTTGTGTAAATCAGAGTACACAAGTGTGGATTTGATACACTTGTATATTATAATAGAATTGCCATCGTAAGGTTCACTGGCACCTCCATCACAGCACACAATTACCATTTCTTTTTTGTGGGAAGAACGTTTAAGATATAGTCTCTCAGCAGCTTTCAATACACAGTATAGTCTTTCTCCCGGTGTATAGGACTTAAGGGTATCCTGAGGTCATGTCCCTACCGCCAAGCCTCCCCCATTCAGTAGGAATTACAATAATCAGTTCCCCACATCAGGGAGATCTCAAAACCTTCAGACAAGAGGATCAGCTCTATCTGTAAATGCTTCTTTATTTTTCTAATATAGCCTTAAAATGTAGTATGGAAAGGTACCAGTATTTATTTTGCTACTTTACGTCTTACAGGGAGTATATGCTATAAAAATAAGTTACAGGCACATTCTCTTTATTTCTATTTCTTATTTTATTAAGTTTGTTAGTGGGACATTATACATTCTTTAGGTGGTTATATCCGTACGCTAACAGAGAGGAGGCAGCATCTTGTGGTAGGTGAGCATAAGCTGTGGAGTTGAGAGGAAATGGGTGAGAATTGTAGCTCACAGTGTATTAGCTACAACCAAGTAGCCTCTCTGAGCTTCAGTTTCCTCACCTGTTAAATAGGAATAATGATACCTACATGGTAGAATTGAAAGGATTAAATGAGATGTTATAGGTACTTATTGAGATGTAAGAGAGATAATTTTTTTAATGTTTATTTTGAGAAAGAGAGAGAGGGAGACACAGAAACTGAAGCAGGCTCCAGGCTCTAAGCTATCAGCACAGAGCCCGATGCGGGGCTCAAACCCACACACCGTGAGATCATGACCTGAGCCGAAGCCAGATGCTTAACCGACTGAGCCACCCAAGGCTGCCCAGAGAGAGAATTTTTATCCACGTTGAAAGTCTGCATAAGTGGCTTAAGTTCATTTGTACAAAGGGATAAGTGATACATACTTATCATAATGGTAATTTTATGTAAGATCCTCCCAAAACATGTAATCAACTGTTACCATGAAAAGCAGAAACCAGAAGGACAGAGGGGACAGGGATTAATGATAGCAAAGGAATTTTTGTGTAATTTTTATGCCTTCTCTGCTTTGTCTTTAGTACTGATTATGGCTTACTCTAAGTTAACAGGCCCCTGTATGGAGTCGGCCCCGGGTGTGGGATCCTCTTGTAAGGAGGAGGCGTATTTTAGAAGTACTCTGGAGGCCCGAGCACTTGAGTTCTAGGTTCCCACCCCACGGCTGCCTGGCTCACAGAGATGGAAATAAAAGATGGAGTATCTTCAGCCTTGCATTTTGTTTTGAAGTTGAAACCCGGATTAACTGACCCTGGAGGCTATTTTAAGCAGGTGTCTTAATCTGTTCCTTTTATCTTGATATTTGTCACTGAAGTGTGAAAATTCTGTTCCTGTCATTCCTGTAATAGATCTGATATCCCCACTTCTGATCTTTGAAACCCCTCAAGACCTCATTAAGTTAGAGCCCCATCCAGCTGGACAGGAATGAACAGATTCTCCTGTGGCTTTGCCATCACAGCCCTCTGCCGCTTCCCTTCTTCCTTGGTTGATCCTGGCTGGCGCCCCCGAGCCTTGGATTTTTTTTTTTTTTTTTTCAATATAACTAGTCACTGACTTGCATCTTTGGATTTCATCCTGCCTGTTCAAAGCAGTGGTGTCCACAACACCCTGGAGTGGCCACCGCAGAAACTGGGTCCTCTTTCCACATAGCTTTTAGCTTTCCTTAGCTCCAGGGCTGCTGAGGGTGACAGTGATTCAGTGCCTGCGGGTTATAACCTGTGATCGGTTCCAGAAGCACCTTCGGCATCTTGCCTCTCTTTCGGTCCTCACAGCTCCCGTTTTACTCGTGACAACACGAGAGGCTTCCCGGGATTGTATGATGGTCCCCAGGCCACACGGTACATGACCCCAGGCCCAGTGTTGATTTGACGCTAAAATGCTCCTTATTGGGACAAAAGGGGGACAAAAATGCTATCTGCTCTACCTCCTTGCCACGGCCTCAAGCCACAGGAACTACCATCAATTTCTTAGGGATCCAGATAACGAGAGTTTCAGTAAGGAAGGTGTCTTACTGTTCCCCAGACTAATTGCATCTTCTGGCAGAGACATTAGAGCTAAGTTAGGTTTTACGGTACCAAATTAAATGAGATAATACATGTGAAAGAGCTTCACAGAACTATTCCAGTCAGTGCCTTGTGTTCTGGCCTGGGGATCTGACTACTTTCCAATGAAAATACTGAATTTGTATAATGTAGTATTTCATTATCTATTGTGCTTTTTAAAACCAATATTCTCAAAAACTATTCAGTCCCTTTATTTTACTTGAGACACACTTGCATCGTCTTACCACAAGAGCAGAAGCCTAAGTATAGCCTCCCTCACTTCCTGCAGCGCCCCATTGTCTCCATCTGCTGGGGACATCGGGACTCGCGGCTGCTGATGGCTTCAGGACCAGCCCTGTACGTGGTGCGCGTGGAGCACCGCGTGTCCAGCCTGCAGCTGCTGTGCCAGCAGGCCATCGCCAGCGCCCTGCGAGAAGACAAGGACGTCAGCAAGCTGACCCTGCCCCCCCGCCTTTGCTCCTACCTCTCTACCGCCTTCATCCCCACCATCAAGGTAAAGCCCGTCCACCCTCCCTTCTCTTCCTCCCCCATACTGGCTGCCTGCCTGCTCCCGGAGGGCAGGTGAGATTCCTAAAGCAGGAGCGCAAAAGCCATGTCTGCTCCTTGGCGAGAGTTATCCAGGTGACGGATTCTTGCAAGTGCAGTCTGTCCCTGGCACAAGAAGCGTCCACCAGAGACTTGCCTTGTGTGAGGGGCGTATGCTTTCTTGTGGCAAGCTCTTGGGAGCTTGACTGCCGTGCCATCCTGATCATCTGTCTGCTTGGTTCAATCCTCACTTCCTGGCAGGTGCTTCAGAAAAGCAAGAAACACGTTCCTGGAAGTTTGAGTAGCTTGCTCCGTCACTAGTTACGGGAATGGTCAGAGTGAACCCTGTCCTGAGGATTGAATTACTGCGCTGAGGAGGGGCGACCTCCATCCAGCACTCGCTGTCACTTGTCCTTTATATTGATTGCAACTCGAGAATTAGTCCGTGTATTGGTGGTGTGTGGACTGTTATCTGCCAGTTGCTAGTCAAGTGTGGCTTTCCTCCTAACCTCAGGCCTCGGCACCTTGCATTCTTTTCCGTGTTCCCTTTTTTGTATCCTAGCTCTGCTTCTAAGTATCAGATTGACTTGTTCGAGGTTACTTTTTTCTTAAAATACCAGTTTTAGAATCTGTTGGGATGTTTTTTCAAGTTGCTTAATGATCTTGGTTGTGAACGAGTGATTCTCAACCCTAGCTGCACATTAAAATTACATGGTGAGTTTTTAGAAAATGCACATGCCCAGGCCCACCCCACCCACCCCCCCCCAGAGAATCCAGTTTCATTGCGTGAGGTGGGATCCTAACTTAGGTATTTTTTAAAGCTCCCAGGAGATTCTTACGTGCACCCACAGTTGAGAATGGCTGCTCTCCATCACACGGTTAACACTCCCTGAGCTATCAGCCAGTGCTCTGTTGGAGTAATCAGTGCTGTCTGTACTCTTTTCTTTCCATGTCCTGCCTCCAGCCCCCAATTCCAGACCCCAATAACATGCGAGACTTTGTCAGCTACCCCTCGGCTGGCAACGAGCGTCTGCACTGCACCATGAAGCGCACAGAGGACGACCCGGAGGTGGGCGGCCCGTGCTACACCCTCTACCTGGAGTACCTGGGCGGGCTTGTGCCCATCCTCAAGGGGCGACGCATCAGCAAGCTGCGGCCAGAGTTTGTCATCATGGACCCCCGGACAGATAGCAAATCAGGTGGGCCTCCACACCCTGTTTTCGGGTGTGGTTGAGGACTCGTGTTCCTGACAGCCCGTGCAAAGTTAATGCTTACTTAAGAAATGTGGGCCTGTGTTTTGGCTAGCGTGGAACATCCTTGAAGCTGCTCCATTTCCAAAATTGTATTGAAGCTAATGATTCTTTAAATGTACTTTCCGGTGGGTTTTTAACAGCACCCGTAAGACTTTGCTTGCTCGGGGCCGTGGATCGAGGGAACGTAACTCGCTGTCTGGGGGAGGCTGGCACAGGCTTTTTGGGAATAATAGGTTCCTCTTTTAGTTATTATCAGGCATTATCGAGGGCCTTAATGTACTGCTGAGACAAGCTGAAAATCATCGTGAGGTACATCTCTGTCTCCCAGAGCGAATGATGGAATTAAAATCTTCAAACCTTCAGCCTACTCCTCAGCCTCCTACTAGAGTCTTCCTTCTGCTCCTTACTAATCCACCATTAACCGCTTTTTAGCTGGTTACCAAGGAAAATTCCTTGCTCATCCATAAAGATTTTGGCATGATGAATCACTCTGCCTTTCTGAAAACTCTCCCCTGTATTGATCTTCATTACTCAGTTGGTGTACTCGAGGTGCTCGCTGCATGCTTCCTCTGGGGTCCTACACTGTGAGCCTCCAGAGCCAAGGAACTTTGCTGTTTCTCTTTGCACTATGGACACTTGCCCAGTGTCCTAAGCTAGTGACTGTGAGGCCCACACACCCCACCGGCAGTAACACCAGCTCAGATGTTCCACTGCCCCCTGTGAAATCCTGCTCGTCACCTGCAGCAGCGGGAGAAACACTGCCTTCCCTGCCAGTCACTTGTCAGTTGGGCTGCCGGTGTCTTGTCTCCCCCACCTCCCCCGCGGAGTCCCGAGGGCCTGGACAGAGGGAACTCAGTGCCTGACCTTGAGAGGACAAGTCGAAAGGGATTTGTTTGATGGGTGCACACTCATCCTCTCCACTTTCCCAGCCCCGCTCCCTCTTCCACCCATCAGACTGGCCTCTGCCCCTCGTGTCCCTGAAGCCCTGGGATGCGCTGGTGTCACGGCGCAGTGAGCGTCTTCAGCCTGATGTGCTTGCCCACTCCGATAGTTCACACAGCTGCCCCCCCTCTGTGTGCCCTCCATGATTCGTGCAGCATCTGTGGCTGCGCTCTGCCATCTGTGTTACCGTGTAAAGTTGAGAGCAGTAGGACTGTACTTTGAAACAGTAGGTATTGGTCCATTTTTTTGTCTTTTGGTTCATGCAGTGAATGAGCACCAAGAGCAGGGAAGGTGAGTGGAAGAACTGGAGGCTGGTAGGGAGGCAGGCGGAGAGGAGGGAGAAGATTCAGAAGGAAGGAAGGCGAAGTGAGGAGGGTAGGAGGGCAGTGGGCATCGCAGAAGCTGTGGCTTCAGGGAAAGGTAGAGGAGCAGTGCCCAAAGTGGGCGGGCTGTGGAAGGCGCACACTACAGGGTCATTGCCCCTGAGGCCCCCTGCTATGTGTGTGTACAAGTTTATAAAACCTGTACTGAGATGGAACGTTGAAGGGAGCTGACCTGAAGTGCTTGCTTCTGCCCCCACGTGCATAAATTCCCACTAAAAATCAGGCAGAAGAAGCAGGCAGGGGTACCATGGGGCACCGAGGCCGGGGGGCAGACCACTGGCCCAACACCTGCTTCTGCTGACTGTTCCCGTCCCTCAGCTCGTGCTGTGCGCAGATGGGCTCAAGTGCTAGCAGTCCTCTGGGGAATAAGGTGCTTTATTTTTGTAATTAAACAAATCAAAAAGTTATAAAGCATAGCACATCAACAGTATGTATTCACTACCCTCTCTGTCGTCTTTGAATCTCCTGTGGTTGTGGGTAACGCCGGGGCATCTCTGCTTTCGGGAACTTTATAAACCCCTTTGGGTGACAAGACAACTTAACGCTTAGAAAGTTCAGGACAAACATCAAGATTTTATTTATTTATTTCTAATTTTTTAAACATTTTTATTTATTTTTGAGAGACAGAGAAAGAGAGAGAGAAAAAATGGGAGGAGCAGAGAGAGAGGAGAGGAGAGAATCCCAGGCAGGCTCTGTCTGCCCCGTGAGCACAGAGCCCGATGCAGGGCTCGAACTCACGAACTGTGAGATCGTGACCTGAGCCAGAATTCAAGAGTGGGCAGTTTAACCCACTGAGCCACCCAGGTGCCCCAAAACATCAAGATTTTAATACCTCAAGACAGGAATAGAAGATGTGTCACAAGGCAGAATATGGTAATGGCCAACCAAATGGTATACGCAGACTGGTACAGAGGAGGAAAAGATTCCCAACTTTGGGAAGCCTAGAATTTCTCACGAGCTGATTAACTCTTTCAAGCCTGCACATCATTGTTTCTCAGAATGTGGTCCATGGGCCACCTCCCTGCAGGTCACCTGAGGCACTTCCCTAAAAGCAGGCTGCCAGGCCTGCCCCTTAGCTTCATTCAGCAGGTCTGGGGCAAGTCCCCCAAGTCCAGTGCCCAGGTGGGAGTTGTACTCCAAAGCTCATGCATGCTGTCGTAAATGCTCTCCAGGCAACCTAACAAACACACTCCTCAAAATTACCAGTGTGTATTTTTATAATTGAGAGCATGCGTGAGAGCATTTTTTTTTTTTTTTAGCATAAATCCCCAAATTTTTTAAAGGAAGCTTACTACAGGTGGAATTGTGTCCCCCTGAAATTCACATGTTGAACCCTTACTCCCATTGTTACTATATTTGGAGATGCGGCTTTTAGAGGGTGATTAAGGTTCAATGAGGCTGTGAGGGCGGAATCTCAATAGGATTGATGGCCTTGTAAGGAAAGGGAGAGAGCTCTCTCGCCACGCCACACGCACACACTAAGGAAAGGCCATGTGTGGACACAGTGAAGAGGGTGGCCGACTACAGGCCAAGCAGAGAGTCCTTACCAGAACCTGATCACACTGGCACCCTGACCTCGGACCTCCAGCCTCCAGAACTGAGACATAAATTTCTGTTGTTTATAAGCCACCCAGTCTGGCATTTTGTTATAGTATAGCAGCCCAAATGGATTAAGACATGAGTAAAGGAAAAAAGCAAATGTTATGACATATAGCCAACTGTGAAATCTTGGATTAGCAAGCAGGTCAGGAGCTGAGTGGACAACACGTTACTGAGTTTCCTCAGTCAGTGAACTGGCCCTGTGCTCATGAGCACACAGAAACCTTCTGGGGGTTTACATGCCCATGTGAGTCAGGACCAAGCTCCCTCTGGCTAAGTGACTCCTAACTTAAGTAATGGAAAGCGCTGCTCAAGGCCTGTGAGTGAAGCCTCTTTATTTGATCGAACTCAGATGCACACCAGTCTAGCTTGCTGTGTTCACGAGTCACGCCTTCTGATGAGGAGGTAGTTTAAGAAGAGGGTGATGTGGGCACACAGACTGGGCCTCAGTCAGCCTGCTTCCAAGTAGCATGCATGCCAGACAGCATACTCTGCTTCCAGTGGCCTCCGAGAGGCCCCTGTTCACAGATGTCCCCTCCATATGTTCAGAAACACTAAAGATTAGTTTATATTAACACACTCATCCTTTCAAATGTAAACAGCTTTTTTGAATGATAAAGTCACTCAGATTCTATCAATCATTTCATTGCAGTTGGACAATTCAGCTTTTTTATTACCTGGCAAGGTTCTTGGAGCCTTGAGGGAATGAGGCTTTTTGTCAGCAAAACAAAGTGATTTTGAAGATGGGCTACCTGCAGTGAGGGTAGAGCAGCGTTTGGGGAGTGAAGGGATGTGAGGGGTGAGAGGAAGGCAGCAAAGGAGAAAAGATTTCGAGGAAGGTGTCCGATATGACCTCCATCTACTCTGCAGTTTTGTGATGGCCCAACCTCTGTGCACACCGGCTTCTGCCTTAGGACCTCTAATTTCTGCCTGGTGGCCGGTTGTGAAAATTATCTCTAGCAGCTTCTGTCCAGGCACCCTCAGCAGAGCCCAGGCCCGCCACTGACAGGCCTCATGCACAGGCATTCCTTCCAGCTTCTACTCGAAGCGGGCCAACTAAACTGGGAACCCCTGCAGTGGAGCTGACTCTGTCAGGTCTCTAGTCCAGAGCAGGCGTGGAACCAGAAGAGGCCATCACAGGGCCCAGGTCAGAAGCAGGTCCTTGGGTCAGCAAGCCCCTTGCTCGGCCCAGGTCCCCAGGCTGCCTGCAAACTCGTACAAACACAGATACCTGGTGTGATGGGACGTTCCAGCTTTTGGCCTGGTAAACACTGCAGAACTGTTTTATATATTACAGAGGCATGAAAATTCCATGTCCACTTTGATAACAGTAGAAGTAATTGCCTCCTTTTGCTTAGAAAAAATAATAGCATAAAAACGTAGAAAGGAAACCATGCTCTGGTCCTTTCTATTTCAAACTCTCGACTTAAATGCTGGCTTGTAGAGTCGGTCTGTCCCATAGTTTCCAGTAATAGTGATCCTTGTTAGGGTCTGATACCACTTCCCAGAGTCTTCTGGTTGTGTCTCCCCAGATGAAATCTACGGCAACAGCTTGATCTCCGCCATGCTCGACAGCTGTAACTGCTCAGACTCCAGTGATATCGAACTGAGTGACGACTGGGCTGCCAAGAAATCCCCCAAAATCTCCCGAGCTAGCAAATCACCCAAACTCCCAAGGTAATCTCGCTCTTTAGGGGTGTTCTTCCTCTTTTGTGCCTCTGGAGGTGTGTCTGTGTTGTGTCTGCAGCTGAATCCCATTGAAACCTACACTAGAAGAGCCCAGCAAGAGGGCATCCCTGCCTTTCATCTGGAAGATACACCCTCAATAATTACAGCTTTCCTTTCTTCTTTCCTCTGGGTAGAAGAAATCCATCCAGTAGGAGTTTTTCTCAACTTTCAGACCTTCTAAGTGTTAGCACTGATGGTGGATGGCATAGGGTGGCCGTAGCTCCCTGGCTTACTTGTTTGTTCTTCTAGTTTGAGAAAAGTAAGGAAAAGGTTTTACAGGGAATGTACTGTAATGTGTTGAAGAGAATGCCAAGTTAAGTACCTATAATGCTGTGATTGGAAATAAATCGTAAATTTAAAAAATTTTAGATCCTAAAGGTTTGTCCTGTAGAGTGGCGAAAAGCTAAGAGTAGATACAAGGGCCTGTGGGGTCTTAGATAAGAGCCCCCCTGCTCTGACTCCACTACTGAAGGCTATATAACCTTGAATGAATCTGTGACCTGGATTCCAGTATCCTTATTTACGGAAGGTAAAGGGTGGGGCAGAGCTTCACTGAGATCTCTTTAGCTCTAAAATTCTGTGATACTGTACAAAATTAAGATAGAATTTATGTACAGATAACATACCTGCCCAGATCTCAAGCACGTAATTTACTGTGCAGTTGATAAACCAGTGTATCTACCGCCCAGTTGAAGGTAACGTTCAGTCATCCCGAAAAGTGCCTCGTGCCCCTTCCCATTCGATACCCACTCCCCAGAGTCAGCACTGTTCTAATTTCTGTCACCACAGACTAGTTTTACTTGTTCTGGGATTTCATATAAATGGCTTCAAACATGGGGCGCCTGGGTGGCGCAGTCGGTTAAGCGTCCGACTTCAGCCAGGTCACGATCTCGCGGTCCGTGAGTTCGAGCCCCGCGTCGGGCTCTGGGCTGATGGCTCAGAGCCTGGAGCCTGTTTCCGATTCTGTGTCTCCCTCTCTCTCTGCCCCTCCCCCGTTCGTGCTCTGTCTCTCTCTGTCCCAAAAATAAATAAACGTTGAAAAAAAAAATTAAAAAAAAAATAAATAAATGGCGTCAAACATTACATACTTTTTCTTTTTTTTTTTTTTTAACTCTTGCTCAACATAATGACTGAGATCCATTGGTGTCAAGTGTATCAGTAGTTTGTTTTTCTTTTTTGCTCTGTGGTTTCAATTGTAATGAATATACTATAGTTTGTTTATTCCATTTACCCATTGATTGACCTCTGGTAATGAGACTTTTTGTGGACACATGCACTCCTCTGTCTCGGGTAGGGGAGTCGTGGGGCCATGGCACATGTTTAACTTCCCCAGAAACTGCCAAACAGTATTCCAAGGTGCCTGTAGTATTCTGAGTTCTGCCAGCAGTGTATGTGAGACTTCTGTTTTCACCCACGATTGCACTGTCCTTGTCAGAAAATAATTTTATCCATTCTGGTGGGTGTGTAGGGCTATCTTAACATCTCTAGTGATTGGTGATGCCACCCAGCTTTTCATATGTTAATCGGCCATTTGGATATCTTCTTTTCTAAAGTGTCTGTTAAGCCTGTTGCCCATTTTTTATTGAGTTGTTTTTCTGTTACCAGGTTGTAAGATTCTTTATGCATTTTAGCTATGGGTTTTTGGGCAGAGATATGGAGTGCCACATGGCTAACGTCATATGAATTTTTTCTTTTATGATTAGTGCTTCTTGCATCCTGTTTAGGAAATCTTTGTGTACCCTTAGGTCATGAAGACATCCCTTTGTTCCTTTCCAGAACTTTGTAGTTTTAGCTTTCGTACTTCAGTCTCGGATTAATTTTTGTGTATGGGGTGACTTTTTCTTGTATAGATATCCAGTTGCTCAAGCAATTTATTTTTTCATCTTTATTCTGAGCTTGTTAAAATTGCAAATAAAACTGTGAACTTCTCTACACTTCTACAGTGTTTCGGCTTTTCCCTTAATTAAGGGAGGACATTTAACACATAAGCAACCAAATCCTTCACCTGTAAATGTCCTTTCACAGTGCCCGAATATGGCATTCCCTGAGGCTGCTCCTGCTTCCCTCTGTCTTTCCCTGTGTCGAATCTCCCTACTTGCAAAGGCCAGACAGTCCTCACACAGAACTGTAACCAGCTCGGGCCTCTGTCTGCCTGTGCTTCGGGGCCCCTGGTGTTGTATCACACTCTCAGGCAGTACCTCTGAGGCTCAGTGCTTTCTTTTTATTGATTGCCATCAAGCTTAACATACTCATTTTTCTAGCATTCTCTGTGGGGTAGGCTGGCATTAACATGTGTCCCCATGTTATAAATAGAGGAACTAAGGGCCAGAGATATAATGTAGGAACAGAAAACAACAGAAAAGCTGTAGACCCACAGATTTGATTTAAATATCACAGCTGGTGAAAGGCTAGAAAAGTCCATTGAAATCCTGACATTGTGTTAGGAATCTTAAAATCATCTGGCCTTAGGGTGAAATATGTCTCTTCCCACCTGCTATCTTCCCACATGCACGAGGCATGTGGATATTTCTAAACTTACTGTTAGTAGAAAGTGAAACACTGTTAATTCTCTGAGGTTCCTTACAAATGAATCACTTGATTTGGTCAAATCTCGCTGTATTTTTAAGTATCTATCACTTGGTACACAGTTCTGTTCTTCTTCCCTCATATTCACAAGGCAAAAGCAGGCGGCAGAGACTTGAAAAATGAAGGGGCCTTGCCCCTGGGAACACAGCACCGTGGTGGCCACCAGAGCATGAAGGGGAGGGCCAAGGCAGCATGCGCCTCCCCGGCCTGTGGGGCCTGACCCTCCTGGCCTTGTCTCCACAGGATCAACATTGAGGCTCGGAAGTCTCCCAAGCTGTCCCGGGCTGCTCAGGAGATGTCCAGGTCTCCCCGGTTGCCGATGCGCAAGCCCTCCATTGGCTCACCCAGCCTGACGCGAAGAGAGTTTCCCTTTGAAGACATCACTCAGGTAGCATCTGGGGTCCGGGTCAGTCCCACGCATCGCTGCCCCGCCCTTCTCTCCCTCCTCAGTGTGTGGCCGACGGTGGCTGAACCCTCGGTGCATCACACCTGCACTCGCCACCCCAGTCTCCGTGCCGGCCACTGTCGTTCCAGACAAGGGGCGTAGAGAACCAGAGCCCTGTTCTCCCTCCTCACCACCCTGCCCTCAGGCAGGCCCCGACACCTCCATATCCCCAGGACCTCCTTTCCACCTCAGACACACCCCCATGGCCACATGGGTCTTTCCACAGGCAGCTCTGGTTGAGACATACCCTCCCTCTGCCCTCTCAAGCCACTTCCGACCCTTTGGTGACTCTCAGTGTCCACAACAGCCCATCCCTGGTGGTGGCCCCACAGTCTGTGCTGCCCGTCTCTCCATCCTGGTCCCCGCGACGTCCTCCAAGTGCCACAGCCTCGCTGTTGACCGGCCTCTTTCTGTGCTTGTGCCTTTGCTGTACCTGGGTCACTGGGGTGACCCAGCTTACCCTCTCCATCTCCTCCCCTTGTTTCTGCCGGCATGTTTCCAGATAGAACTCAGCCTCTGTGGTGAAGGCTTCTTTCCCTGGCTCAGCCACAGTGGTCCCCAAGCATCTTGTTTACAACATTTCTCAGTGACTTCCTTTATGCCTTACATCCTCCAGTAGGTAATAAGCTCTTTGAGGAGCTGGTTTTAATTCATCTTTGTTATTGCTCTTGCACACACACGCACACTCATGGCTTAAGCATATTGGTAATTTAAAAAAATTTTTTTTCTTAATTGAATTGAATGAGAAAATAGGTAATTGGGTAGAGTGGGGACATACTGGTATCAGTGCAACTAGTGTTTCCAGGAGAAATATCAAGGGTAAAAATGGATCCAGAGCTAGGTGTAACCCCTCTAGTCCAGTGACTGGGAAAGGAGAGGTGAAGAAAAATGTGCCCAGATCACCTTTGTGGCCTTTTTAACCTACACGTGTGCAGACACACTGGGACACATCTGTTCCTCACTTCCAGCCTGAGAATCCCAGCTCAGCCACCATGAGCCACGATTCAGAAACAGGTGCCTGGCATGTTACAGTTAGCTTCCGGTCTTAAAAATGGTGGAATGATACAGAGAGTGAATATTTACAACATTACCCACCTGTGTCTTTTTAAAGCAAAAATGTTAATATTCTTACTTCCTAAGTGATCAATAGAAGATATAAAAATAGATTGTAATTTTTTTTCCTTTTTCTCCCCCCCCCCCCCCCCCGCTCCCTCCCACAGCACAACTATCTTGCTCAGGTCACGTCTAATATCTGGGGAACGAAGTTTAAGATTGTGGGCTTGGCTGCTTTCCTGCCAACCAACCTCGGTGCAGGTAAAAAACCGTGCCCTCTTCTCTGCCTGCTCTCCCAGGTGGAACTGAGACTTTTGAAAAGACCATTCAGATGAGCTCTTATGGCACCAAAAGATTAGTATGTACTTTATTTACCTCTACACTTTGACTCGAACCATCATAATTTCACAAAATTAGAATTATTACTCAAATTGGTTTTTTGCCAGCAGCGCTTTCAGTATTTTTATATAAGCCCTGACTTATGAAGAGACCGAAATAGCAGAAATCTCCAACAAAGCTCTGGTTATTTTGATTCGTGGCCTCTCGCAGTGGGCAGGTTTTGGTACCAGTGTCTTTAGGTTCTTGAGTCCGAAGAAAGTTGGGAAGAAAGCGCTAAAGACTGTAAGAAGCTGGCTGACTGTCAGTACAGTTCTTTGTGGTAAAACTTCACAGATTTCATGTAGAAGTCCCAGATAAATACTCTGTGAGAAGTTTGAGCCCCGGAGGAAAATAGAACCATAGGAGTAAAAGCTGGGCTAGAACCCAGAATTTGCATTCTTTTCTGTACTCCTGCTTGAAGGAATAGGACTAACATGTCGTGTTTACTTCGTGTTTACTTCACTCCTTACTTCAGAAGGAGTGAAATGACAGAAGGTCCTTTTCAGAGCAGCTTCATCCCGATAGGCGCATCGCTGGGTGGTCTGAGGGCTTGTGCCATCATCCCCCACCCTTGCTGGATTGCCTGATCACTTAACACGCACACGTCTCTGAAAGGCGAGGTTTGCGTGTGGCTGGTGGACCCATCTTGAATGTGCTCTGTGTCCCTACTAAAAATGGTTTGTGAAAAATTCTGTATCTGACTATTTAAGTTGTTTCAGACATCAGTAGATCCTTTCAGTTAAGTAATTCTTGCAAAGCAGATGTTAAAAAGACCTATGCCATGTATGCGTCTTAGGAGACTTATTAAACAGTGCTGTATTTGGATTTTTCATTTTGAGGTTTCTCAGCTCAAAGAAAAAGAGGAATAAAAATAACACATAAAACTGACGTAGGAAATAACCATAGACTGTCCCAGTACATACTGCAGAGAAATCTCTTAATAATATTTTCAACCACCTGCAAAGTCTCTGATGACCATGAAATTCTGTTCTTTAGTAATTCAGCCGTGCCCCACTGATGTGCTTGGTGATTCTAGTAACCACTGTGCAAGCGTTGCGATCACCCCACGTCAGTACGCTGAGGCCTGAGCCATCTGCCTATTTCAATAAACATTGAAAAAAGGAATGGAATCTTAATGAATCTTTTCCTTCTAGATGTTGAGTAGATCCACACATAAGTCAACAAGAACCTTAACATGGGAGAGCCTAGAAGTGCCTTCAAGGTACGGGATGCTCCAGTGTGAGGGATTCGAGTGCCCAAAATAAAAGTTTTCTGTGTGACTGCAATGAAATCATTGTCCTAATCATTGACCGTTTAAAAAAAAGCATGTTAGCTATTATATTCATTTGTTAAGCTAAGAGAATTTTCCATTTGATTCTACTAGAGAAGAAATTATCTCTTAGCTTTTAGAAGGTATGTTACCTGTGGTACCCTATTAAACAATCTTTGTCACCCTAATGGATTTTAAAGTGAGTAGTTGGATATTTTATATTAGATAATTGTGCTGGATAATTTGTTCCCTTCAATTAGAATTATCTGGCTCATGAAATTTTTTTATTTTTAATTTTTTGCTTTCTCAATTTTAAAAATATGGAATAAATTCAAATTCAAAAGATTTGAAGCAGTATACAGTAAAAATCTTTCTCTTCACCTCTGGCCACCTAGTTTTCTCCCCCTGGAGGCAACTGACACAATTTTTAATCCCTCCTCAGATTTTAAATTTTATTTCTTTTTATCAGTCTGAACAACAAAGAATAGCACTTTAATGCATGCATTAATTCTTAAACCAGAGAGAACTGTCTAGAATTTTAAAGCCAAAATTCATATTCTCTTTTGTGAGCAAGAGAGATGAACACATGAGTAGACCTGTGATGAGCACTCGGTTGGAAAAGTCTTCTTAGCCCTCACCAGCCCAAGCACCAGCCTCACACAGGTATTTCATCACCAGAAGGCCTGCGGTGCCGTGGGAGTGCCAGCCAGGCGCCTCTGGGCACTGGCGGGGACAGCAGTGGAGACAGAACTGTGCTTACCTTAGCAGAAACTAGGGATAACAGTAATAATTACAGAACCTCTACTTACCTCACAGGGAAAAGTACGAAACATAAAAGAAAGCTGATGGGCTGGTGTCATCCTGACTTCAGCCTACTGCAAGCCCTAAATTCAAATTTATTGGTTTTAACTTATTTTGTCTCATCTAAATATTTTAATTGCCATCTAGGCATTCTCTTAAATGTCCTTATTGATCCAATAAAATCTTAGCATTGAAAGAAACAGTGTGAAGGGGCACCTGGGTGGCTCAGTCAGTTAAGCGTCTGGCTCTTGATCTTGGCTCGGTCATGATCTCACTGTTCCTGAGATTGCGCCTCAAGCCAGGTTCTGCACTGCCAGGGTGGAGCCTGCTTGGGACTCTCTCTCTCCCTCGCTGTCTGCCTCTCCAGTTGCACTCTCCCTCTCTCTCTTCTGTAAATAAATAAGCTTAAAAAAAATTAAAAATAAAGAAATGGTGTGGAAGTTCCCTAAATCACTATCCTGATCATGAAATGGCAGTTGAAAGTCAGGGAAACAAGAATCCAGTCCTGAGTAAGAGCAGTGTTTCATTCTGCCCTGACCCACGTCATCCCATCTTCTAGTTGCCTGAGATCCCCCTGAGCATGACATTCTGGATATCCCAACAATTTTACTAAGTTATCCTTCTGATCACAAGTGAGGCTTTTAAAATACATATTTATCATACCCCAGCTCATTCCAGAAAAGCATTTAAGTCTTAGACACGTGTTTGACATTTGAAATGTGTGATTCTGTAGAAAACCACTTGGCAAAGTGACTGGGGTAGGCTGAGAATCTGTTGTTACAGAATCCAGACCATGGCTGGGGTGGCCAGTGGTGTGCAGAAGGGAGGTGAAGGGCTGCCATCAGACTCTCCCGGGCCCATGCAGATCTGTCTTCTGATGGCAGGGACAGCACAGCACCATTTCTCTTCTGTGGCTCTGTCGGCACCTTGGCCGTCCTCCTGCATGTCTCTGTTAACAGCGCTCTCCTCCTCCCCACCAGTAATCTATAAAACCAGCCTCCTGCATCTCCAGCCACGGCAGATGACCATCTATCTCCCAGAGGTTCGGAAGATTTCCATGGACTATGTTAATTTACCTGTCTTCAACCCAAATGTTTTCAGTGAAGATGAAGATGATTTACCAGGTGTGTTCTTAGTGGGTCGTGACGGGGACAGAGTGGTAAGTTGTGGACGATTACAGCATGCCGGTCTGTGCTTGCTTTGGCAAAGGGTGACTTCCTCCATTGTTGGGTGTGGTGGCATATCACAGGAGAAGGTCCTACTGTTGCTGGTTTGGGGAGGAGGGGAGCTACGAGCAAGGCCTCATATCCACAGAGCATCTGCCTTCTTGTTTTATTATCTTCACAATAATCCTTAGTCTTATGCCCAGGTAGAGGAGTTTATAGGACTGATCAGAACTCAATAAAATCAGAACTGAAACCAGGTCTCATAGGCTGTGGCACCCACAGAACCTGGTTTCTCAAACCCGCCCCATCTCTGGGACAGAAAACCTTTACGTTCAGACATCTCTCTCCCAGTGTGCAACTCACATCTCAGTGTACAGAAGCCTGGTCTGAGTTAAAGGTAAAATCTGGTACAAGCTTTTAAAGTCCCAGTTTACAAATTTTCAGATATCGATAGCATCTTAAATTAAGTATTTTCTAGTGTGTGTGTGTGTGTGTGTGTGTGTGTGGTGGGGGGGGGATCTTATTTTGATTAATAGAGTAGAACGATTTCTAAGTCGTCTGTCAATTATTCCTATGTAACTATTCTCAGAAACATCTACCCATAATTTTATAAATATGAAGACTCCTCTCCTTAGAACCAAGCAAGTTTTTGAAGGTCTCTGGTTTCTGAGCCAGAGGAATCCTACATGGACCACTGACTTCTCCTGTGTTTGGTGGTTCTGGAACAGAAGGGGCTATGGTCCTCGCCATGGGACAGGGAAGGACCTGCATTCCAGCTTCAGCATTCCTCAAGAACTTGAGGGAGTCGTTTACCTTCTTCATGGGTTTTTACATGTAAAGTTATTTGTACGGTACTTTCTGACAGTAGCTGTCTTTGGTCCTCTGATGATATACCTCTCCTCGTAGGCAGAGCAGATATTCTAGACTATCAAAGTCATAATGGGCAAGGTTTTGCAACCACATAAACCTGCAGTTTGGTGAAGCCTCACACACTTGAGCTTTACAGCCCATTTCCGCAATCTCAGAATCTCGTAATTAGAAGTATCTTTTACACTTTCCCCGTAACACCCTCCCTGTGCTCCCAGAGTGTGACTCATACAGCTCTCCCTAAATGCTCAGCCCTTGCTGCTGCTGTTAGTGCCTGTGCTGCGCAGTCAGAGGAGGGAGCGTTTTGTCTCTGTGCTTGCCTTTAATGCTGGTGACAGACTCTTCTCTTTAGCCTGGAAGACACCTGCCTTCAGTTCTCCATGCAGATGAGAGGCCATCTGGAGGAGAGTTCTGAACAGGAATAATAGAAAACTTGAAACAGGACCCAGATTCATGAAGCCAGGAGATAGTTATATCTCACTAGAGGGCCCCGGGGAAGGGATGGGGGAAGTAGGGAAGTCTGGGACAGGCTCAAAAGGTGGGCTTAACTTTTGATGAAACTAGCTGCCTTCACTCCATAGTTCTGGTAAAAGGCCAGTCAGCCTTTACAGTTACCTAGTTAAATATTATTTCCTGCTCGTATGCTAGTTGCTACATAGCACTTAAAGGCCCAGATGAGCAAACTTGCCAGGGGTCGATGGCATTTTAAACAGGGCAGTATAAAACAGTGGCTCTGAGCACCTGCGTGTGGTCTATCACTGCTCAAATTCATGCTTCATTAAATTCCCTATGTGTACATATATAGGATAGATTTACAGGGTTTTACAGAGTGTGGCTATACCTTGCATACTGTCGGAAATGCTAAAAAGCAGATAAATTAGGGAATTATCCTTCCCTAATAACACAGATTTGCTAGAGGATTCTTTTCATTGGTATCTTTACTACATCTTACATGGTTCTATTTACAGAAACTTAGTTTACGTGCAAATTTCAGATACACATTTGCTGCATGACCCTTCCCGTACTAACCAGTCCATAAATGTGGCTAAACATACTCCAGAGCCTAGGCCTTATGAGTGCTCAGTGGAGTATCCTCCCGTCACTCCCTCCTTGCATAAGAGAGTGGTCCGTTTTCTGAATAGGAGTAGAAAGTATCTTTAAACAGTTAAGTATTGGGGCGCCTGGGTGGCGCAGTCGGTTAAGCGTCCGACTTCAGCCAGGTCACGATCTCGCGGTCCGTGAGTTCGAGCCCCGCGTCGGGCTCTGGGCTGATGGCTCAGAGCCTGGAGCCTGTTTCCGATTCTGTGTCTCCCTCTCTCTCTGCCCCTCGCCCGTTCATGCTCTGTCTCTCTCTGTCCCAAAAATAAATAAACCTTGAAAAAAAAAATTTTTTTTAAAAAATAAACAGTTAAGTATTTAAAAATAAAGTAGGGCTTCCAGGGAGGCTCAGTTGGTTGAGCATCCGACTCTTGACCTCAGCTCAGGTCTTGATCTCAGGGTCGTGAGTTTGAGCCCTGCCCTGGGCTCCACATTGGGCATGGAGCCTACTTTAAAAAAATTAATTAATTAATTAATTAATTTTAAAAAAAGTTAAGTATTTGCCGTGGTACCATTTAGGCACATGGTACCAAATTCAGAAGGTTCAGAAGCATATCCATTGAAAAGCTTTGACAGTGCCCTTAACCAGTGGACAACAAAGGCTACCGGGCAGAACTCACCCGCTTGCCTGGGCCCTTCCAGAAACCTTGGAGAAACTTTGTATAACTTGTGTGAACGATCTGGCTTTCCCCCAAGCAAACACATCTCCGCCTGAAGCAGTTGCATTTTGTATGCAAAAGGACTGGATGAGTTCAGAGGTATTACTTATTCTGACCCAGTTTCATGGCAGTTTTGTAAGCAGTGCATGTTTCTTTTTTCCTCCCAGTGACGGGAGCATCGGGTGTGCCTGAGAACAACCCTCCATGTACCGTGAACATCCCCATCGCTCCCATCCACAGCTCGGCGCAAGCTATGTCCCCCACACAGAGCATAGGATTGGTGCAGTCCCTGCTGGCCAATCAGAATGTGCAGCTGGACGTCCTGACCAATCAGACCACGGCAGTGGGGACGTCTGAGCATGGAAGTGATAGTGCCACCCAGTACCCAGTCTCCAACCGCTATTCCAACCCCGGACAGGTGATCTTCGGAGGTGTGGAGATGGGCCGCATCATCCCCAACCCCGCTCAGCTGTCCCTGCCACCGCCTGCACCAGGGGCGATCCAGCTCTCGGTGTTGGACCACGGAGACCGAGACCATGACCACCTGCAGAAGTCCGCCAAGGCCCTGCGGCCAGTGCCGCAGCTGGCCGCCGAGGGGGACGCAGTGGTGTTCAGTGCCCCGCAGGAGGTCCAGGTGGCGAAGATGAACCCCCCACCCCCCTACCCGGGAACCATCCCCGCCGCCCCCACCACAGCAGCGCCCCCGCCCCCGCTACCGCCCTCGCAGCCTCCGGTGGACACGTGCCTGAAGAAGGGCGACTTCTCGCTGTACCCCACGGCGGCACATTACCAGACGCCCCTGGGCTATGAGAGGATCACCACCTTTGACAGCAGCGGCAACGTGGAGGAGGTGTGCCGGCCTCGGACGCGGATGCTCTGCTCCCAGAACACCTACACCCTCCCCGGCCCGGGCAGCTCAGCCACCCTGCGGCTCACCGCCACTGAGAAAAAGGTCCCCCAGCCTTGCACCAGTGCCACCCTGAACCGCCTGACCGTCCCACGCTACTCCATCCCGACGGGAGATCCACCCCCGTACCCCGAAATCGCCGGCCCGCTAGTCCCGGGTCGGAGCGCGGCGCAGAGGCCCGACAGTCTCATCCACGCCACGCTGCGCAGGAACAACCGCGAGGTGGCGCTCAAGGCGGCGCAGCTGGCCGAGCCCCCGCGGGTCCCCCCGCAGCACCCGCCCAAGCCCAAGGGTGCGGCGCAGTTCCCGGCGCGGCCCCCGCCGGCCTTGTATACCTGCAGTCAGTGCAGCGGCGGGGCCGTGGCGGGGCGGCCCGAGCCTGGCGCCGGGGGTGCTGGAGGTGTGCAGCCGGGCTCGGGCCTGGCCCACGCCGCCAGCACCTCACCCCTGACCTCCCAGTCGTCCTACAGCCTCCTGAGCCCGCCAGACGGCGCCCGCGACCGCGCCGACTACGTTAACTCGGCCTTCACGGAGGACGAGGCGCTGGCCCAGCACTGTCCGGTCGAGAAGCCCCTGAGGCACCCCACGCTGACTGAAGCTGCTGTGGCCGTCAAACGGCCACCCCCTTACCAGTGGGACCCTGTGCTGGGGGAAGACATTTGGGTTCCTCAGGAAAGGACAGCACAGACTGCAGTGCCCAACCCCCTGAAACTGCCTCCTCTGATAGTAGGTCAGAGCCAGCATCTGGACGTGTCCCGTGTGCCCTTCGTCTCCCCGAAGTCTCCCGCCAGCCCTACTGCCACTTTCCAAACAGGCTTTGGGATGGGAATGCCGTATCCAGGGAGCTATAACACGCCCCCTTTGCCGGGAGTGCAGACCCCCTGCTCCCCGAAAGATGCCCTGTCCCCGACACAGTTTGCACCCCAGGAGTCCACAGTGGCTCTCCAGCCAGCCTACCCGCCCAGCCTCTCCTACTGCACCTTGCCCCCCATGTATCCGGGAAGCGGCACCTGCTCGAGTTTACAGCTGCCACCTATCGCCTTGCACCCCTGGAATTCCTACAGCCCTTGCCCGCCCGTGCAAAACCCCCAGGGCACTCTGCCCCCCAAGGCACACTTGGTGGTGGAGAAGCCCCTCGTGTCCCCACCGCCCACCGACCTCCAAAGCCACTTGGGTACAGAGGTGATGGTAGAGACCACAGACAACTTCCAAGAAGTCCTTTCCCTGACAGAAAGCCCGGTCCCCCAGCGGTCGGAGAAATTCGGGAAGAAAAACCGGAAGCGCCTGGACAGCCGAGCAGAGGAAGGAAATGTTCAGGCCATTACAGAGGGCAAAGTGAAGAAGGAGGCAAGGACTTTGAGTGACTTTAATTCCCTGATTTCCAGCCCTCGCCTGGGGAGAGAGAAGAAGAAAGTGAAGAGTCAGAAAGACCAACTGAAGTCGAAGAAGTTGAATAAGACGAATGAGTTCCAGGACAGCTCAGAGAGCGAGCCTGAGCTGTTCATCAGTGGTGATGAGCTGATGAACCAGACCCAGGGCAGCAAGAAGGGCTGGAAGAGCAAGAGGAGTCTGCGGACGGCCAGCGAGCTGGAGGAGTTCAAGTGCCGGAAAGCCAGCGAGAAGGAGGATGGCCGGCTGGGCAGCCAGGGCTTTGTGTACGTCATGGCCAACAAGCAGCCTCTGTGGAACGAAGCCACCCAAGTGTACCAGCTGGACTTTGGGGGGCGCGTGACCCAGGAGTCCGCAAAGAACTTCCAAATCGAGCTAGAGGGGCGGCAGGTAAGAAAGCATGTCCCAGGGCATGGCCCGCCCAGATCCCTGCTTTTTGGTCTTGACTGGTCTTTGTGGGTTTTTAAAAACCTGCTAAAGGATAGCAGTGTTGTGGCCTGCCAGGAGCCAAATGGGAAATAACGGAAAACAACTGATCCCTCTTAAGCGTGGCCAAGTCTCCGTGACCCATGAGAAAAACTAGCAGGCCCCTGCCCAGCCCCCTGCCCGCTCCCCAAACCTGCTCTGCCAGAGATTCTTTCTTTCTTCCAACTTTGGCTTTTTTCTGGCATTTGACACTGTGTTTGCAAAGAACGTGTTCCCATTTCTATTTATTGATTTTTCAGTTTTTCACATCGTGTATTGACCTCTTCCTGAGGAATATGAGGGTTTCTTTTCTTCACCCCCACTGCCATATGTACAGACACGTGAACTTCCCCCTTTTCTTAGTTCAATCAGCAGTCATTGGTTATCTCATTATGCCAATATATGTGGTTTATAGCTGAGCCATGTATTATGGCTTAACTGTATTTCCTTTTTTATTACATAGGGATTTTTTCCTAGACCAAATAATTACCCAGTGTTTGTTTGTTTCTGTGTATTCATAGTACATCATTCCCTGATTCGGTGGCAGAATGTAAATCTCTTCTCACTACAGTTAAACACATCGGGTGGTTTTCCAGTTCCTCTGCTCCAGCCTGAAATGGTGGCTCTAACCCTGCTGCATAGCTGTTGTTCTGGAACTGCTCTTCCTCACCATCCTGGGAGTTCCCTTCACCTCTCATACTTAAATCTCATTTTCGTTAATTCACTCAAATATTTATTGAGCCACCTGCTGTGTGCCTGGCAATCCTCTGAGCTGGGAGTCAAAAACTGTGGCCCACAGACCAATTGGACCTGCTGCCTCTTTTTATAAATAAAGTTCCATTGGAACACAGCCATGCCCACCCACTTAAGTATTGTCTAAGGCTGCTTTTGTCCCACAACAGAGAGTTCTGGCAAAGACCCTGTGACCTACAAGGCCTGAAGTATTTATCATCAGCCCTTTACAGAGAGTTTGCCAACGTTGCTCTAAGTGCTGACACCAGAGCAATGAGGAAAGTAGAGAAAATCCCCATCCTCACATGGAGTTTACCAAAATGGAAGAAAGACCGTAAACAAATGTACTTAAATATTTATAGAAGTATTTATACTTATATAATATTTATACATAATTTATGTGATATATAATATAATCCTTATAAATATAATATTTATGTAAATATCTGTATATGTATGTAAAAAGCTATATGGTCACAGCGTGTGATCACAGTAAGTACTGAAATGACAAAGGAAAGCGAGCTCGAGAGACAGAGCATTGCGGGAAGGCGGTGGGCTATGTTTGCCCCTCTCTGACCCGTGACATTTGATAATTACAATTGATGTTTCTCTCAACCTTCTGTTAGCCTGTAGATTCTTCTTCATACTTTTTCTTTCCCCTGTTTCCTTGGTGAGGAAGCCACTTCATTTGACCAGTGAGCTTTCCAGGCTCTGAATTTTTGCTTCATTATCTTCCCATTGTGTGTTTACCAGGTTCCCCCTTTGTTTCCCACAAACCCATAGTTAGCTCAGGAAGTTTGATCAGAGTCCCTCTCTGGGGGGACTATCTCCTGGACTGCGCTGTCGTGTTCCCTCAGGAGCCACACAGGCGGTTGTGCTATTTCCCACCTTGTTTTCCTTTAATGTCTTTGCTTCTCTGCCCACCTCCCTCCCACCCCCCAGGTGATGCAGTTTGGAAGGATTGATGGCAATGCGTACATTCTGGACTTCCAGTACCCCTTCTCAGCTGTGCAGGCCTTTGCGGTTGCCCTGGCCAACGTGACTCAGCGCCTGAAATAAAGAGGCTGCTACGGGTGGGAAAGAGAGGCAGAGGAGCCTTTTCAGAGAGGTCTGATCAGCAGTGCTCGAGGAGTCCCACGGGGCCCCGGGTGCCTGGGGACCAGAAGACAAGAGCAAAACTGGAAGAATCTGTCAGGCCCAGGAGAGGGGACTGACCTCTAATTGTTGTTGTTTGTTTGGGCTTTTATAATCCTTTATTGTTTTTCTTTCTTCTTTCTTTTTAAACAAGAAGAGAATACAGAAGAGTGGTATCTGGAAGCAAAGCGTGCGAGGCACCTGGTGTTCTTTTCGGAAACATAGTTGCCGTGGTAATGTCCTACTGTGTCTGCTTCTGTCACCTGCCAGGACAAGGGGCCCTTCGGAAGGAAGGTAGACTGCCTTCCCGCCTGCTGTTCTTTTAGACTAGGGAGTGTGCATTATTTTCGTTCTCCACAACACCTAGCTTTATTACTCCTCCCTATTGTAACCACTAGTGTGAAAACAAAAGACTTTTAAAAAGAACAACCCCAAATCCGGAAGGTACAGGTTCTCTTAGGGGGCCATTCAGATCACACATACAATGTTACTCCCCCAGAAGTGACTTGATTAATGAAAGGTGTTATGGCAAATGCACTGTGTTTGACTAATAGCAGTAGCCTTTGCCCAGCGGTGCTCTTACCAGCTCTAAATACAGTTCGCTCATGATGATGTAGGAGGAAGGGACGGCAGGTGAAGAAGGAGCTTCTGCGCATGGACACCTGGGTGGTTTACACGGTGGGACTTGAAGCAGTACAAGAGCTGTGCTCCTCTCTGCACGATGTTTACGTTGAAGACTCTGCTAGTTGTATAACGTGTCAGAAGTCCGTGGGTTCTGTAACAATCATTCAGTGTGCTTGCCTTCGGGAGAAGGTAAAAGACCAAATGGAAAGATCTGGCACATGGTGGGGAAGCAACTTTGTCACCTAGTGCACTGGTAAGTCACTAGATACCCACTTACTGAAAAACAACCTTCATCCCCTCCCCCATTTTATTGTTTAATCTAGAAAATGTGGCAGACGGCCTTCTCTTTCCCAGTAGATAAGTGTTCCACACTTTCTCATCTGAAAAATGCTGATGATACTCATTTGAAAGCACTCCTTTCCTCCTCTTGGCAACATTAAAGTTCACTTGACTAGAAATATTTTCTAATGGTTTAGAAATGTAACAAAATTTTAAGCAATCGACAGGGTATTGAAAGATAGAGGTATGGTCATCTCTTTGAAAAAAATAACTAGGAGGAGGGAAAAAAGTTCTTTATTAACTGAATAGACTGTTTACTGAGGAGATAAACCACTGGGAACACATTATTAAAATTATAGTACTTAAGAGAGCTGGTTGATCTCACACACACACACACACACACACACACACACACCCTGGAATATCTTTTCTTGCCTCCTCCTCCTTAGGGGACACTTTGGGCAGCCTTCAGCCCTGATGATAACAAAGCCCAGTTTGTTGTTGTCAATCACTCGTACCTGTGATGTTGTTTAGGGCAGGAGCACAAGAGCTATGTACTGGCACAGGGCCCTCAATTTGGGTTTTGTTTGGAACAGACAAATGGAAGACACCACAGAAAAGTCTTTTGAAAATAATGTATTTTTACATTCCTTGTTTTGATTTACAAACTAGAAAAGAAACTGGCCCATTCCTTCCCCAGAGCAAGACGAAATCACTCACCATTTTCTCCAGACCTTGAAGGAGCACAGATGAGGACATCTCCCAGCCAACATCAGAGTTTTCCATCTTATATTTTAAAATATTGAGCCTGATTCTTGGTGGGTAAATTCTTGCAGAAAGAATTTAGCAACGTATTCAAAATTATATAATTCTTTTATAGGTGTTTCTATAGCTTGGTAAGATGTTTCAGTGTTTATATTAGTTGTGCAATAATGGTTATGGCCTATTTCTAAAATAATTTAAATGCAGTTCCCCTGTTTTGTTGTCCAAGAGATAATTATTTATCTTGCTTTAATGGTGTTCTTAGGAATTATTTTGTGGCTATGTACTGGTGAGTTATGCCCATTTTATTTATTTAGAAAAATAGTATGTTTGTAATGAGTTATTTGGTAGCAGTACATTTTGCTGCAAGAAATAAAGAGGATATGATAGAAGGGTTTTTTGCTGGACAATTTGTAACTTTTTCTAGTTGGGAAAAAATTCCTATTCTTTAGAAGTAATTTTTTTTTCCATCCTGTGGTATTGATTATATACAGAGGAGTAGATTTCTTTAAGATGCCATATCCTAAAATAATATCGTCCCTTTTGAACGCTTTTAATTAAAAATAAAAGGTGCTATGAAATGAAAAGAGGAGACTAATTAGAAGAGTAGCAGAGGAAGGCATTATTGTCACTAAGTGTCCACTTTCCAGATTCTGATTGGTTTTTTGAGATACAAAGACCAAGAAAAGATATATTTCAGAACTTTTCTTACTAAAAGCAATTATAAGGGGAAGTCCTTGGAATAAAAAAACAAAGATATTTGTGAAGAGGAAGTGAATATTTGTAGCAAATAATTGAACTTTCTAAATTCTTGACTCACTCCCCAAAAGGTCTCTTCTGCACATGGAGACACAGGCCTTGTCTTGCGGGTTTAGCATACCCAGGATTCAGCCCCTGAAGATGTAGCAGGGGTCTGGCTCTGTGCTCTGGCCCAGAGGAGGAACCCTGTCCTGTCAGCCACGCTTATGCAGACGTCTGCAGCATGGGGAAAGTTAAGTCTTTCAGGTTAATGGTGATGGTTTCACTGATTGTAAAAATTGTTTTCATTCAGTCTCAATTTATTAAATACTACTAAAGTCAGTACTTTAAATGGAATTCTACCTACATACTTCGTGCTTATTAATATAGCAATTTATTAATATTAAGTTACCTCATTGAGTCTCTAAATTTAAAAACATTAGCCCAGGCAACTGTATGAAGAATCCATGCCTTTTCCAGGAAAGGAGTGTATTAAGAGACCTAAAAACCGATTTTAAATTTGTTCTGCCTCTAACCTTATCAAACCAAAGGCACAGATTTGGGTACAGTGTATCCACTGAATGTATATTCCAAGAAAAGTTGGTGCCAAGGAAGCAGGAAAATGTGAAGGCTCTAATGGCAGCAGTCAGGATTTTACAGGTTGGTCTTTTCCCCCACGTTCATTGCTCCCTAGTTGAGTGTCCCATGAGGATGTGTGAAACAGCATGCAGTCATCTTGACCCTGGGGTCAAGCCTGCTCTGCCACAGAGCTGGAGGGTGACCTTGGGCCTCCATTTGTCCATCTATAAAATGAAAGGAATGACCTGGACGAAATTCTAAAGTGTCCAGCTCTAACAGCCGACGGTTCAAAATGTGACCGTGTCCTCATTCCACTTTACAAGCTTGGAAGGTGTGTTTCGAAATAATTCTTTTTACAGAGAAACATTTCTTTTCCGGCATCAATGAGCTATCTGGTGAATGTAAACCAGTGCGTTTAAAATAATCTTTAGCAAGTTTACCTCTAGAAACAAATGCATTTGGAGTCATGTTCTTGTAAAATTACACCAAAGCATCAATTCCAAGTGAGACAGGATCCTCCCCATGAGTGTGCCCTGCTCAGTGGACACCCTTGTGAACAGCCCTAAAGTAAGTCACCATTTGCCCCCAAAAAGCCATAGTGTGGGTTGAAAAAAGAACAAAGGAGTATATGCCCGGGCTGGCTTGAATTCTTGAGTGTGTTCAACCGTGTTACATTGTCTTCAAGTTGAAAAGGTTTTTTGGAAAGACCCTATCGTGTCCCTGTGCGGGCCATCTATCCCTTGGCCAAGTCTAATTGTGAACAAAGTGAGACAAAGTGTGTCAAAAATGCTTGAGTTCCTGGGATTTTGTAACAACACACAGCTCTGATCTCACCATTTGTGTATTTCCTTAGTTCTGGCTGATAAAACTCTTGAAGGGTTGTGGCTTATTTTGTTTTCATTTCTTTGGCTTTGTGCAATTTTCTTGTAACTTGTACCGATATTTTCTGTTTACAAGTTCTTTTAAAGGGGAGGGGTAGGGTTCTAAGATCTTGTTGTTGTAGATAAATTTTTTTTCGTGTTGTAGAAAAGCATGGGTTATGCGTTTGACTGAAAAAGGCACTGTATTATTTACCAAAGGGGTATTGTTTTTGCATTTGTTAATAAATGCATTATTTTGGTACTGTAAATTTGGACATAATTTCTGAGTTTATTACTACTGGCATTTTCTTTGTCCTTTTTTTTTTTTTTAAACTGTAAGTGCACGATGCAGGTGCACAGGTCCCAGACCAAACCAGACCACCAGCATGTTCTTATCCAGACCTTGGGAATAGCACGCTGCTCTGTGCGTCTCAGTCCCTCCAGTGTTGGTTTGTTTTTCAATTTCAGCATCCTGCTTTGTTTTACTTTCCAGGCAAGATTTGTTGAGATTCCCACTTGCATTTTAACAAGCTCACCCTTATTTGCCTTTCTTCTTATGTATTTGTGTATTAGATTGTGTGGGAGGTATTCTAGAAGGCATTAATGGTTTGCATTCAAAATGACGTGGTTTGTCCAAATTATTTTCTGTCTTTATTACTGAGATGGATTAATCTCCTTATTTTTTTCTTGATGATTTGAAATTGTAAAAGTTGTCCAGCTATTGCTTAATAAAATTTTGCAGATCAAAAAAAAAAAAAAATTGTGTGCAGAATCAGGTGTGGGTCTTGAGTCCTCGGAGAAGAAATCACAGCTATCCATTGATGTGACCCACCGGCCCCACCAGCCAGTTGTTTCTTCAGTCCCTGGGTTACTGCCAGCTTTAAGTGGACACCATGGGGTCCTTATCATTGTTGCTGTTTTTGAGAGGTCAGAGGCTGTGCTATCTTCTTTTTTTTTTTTTTTTAATGTTTATTTAATTTGAGAGATAGCACGAGTGGGGAAGGAGCAGAGAGAGAGAGGGGGGGGGGATCCTAAGCAGGCTCCTCACTGTCAGCGCAGAGCCCAACACAGGGCTCAAACTCACGAACTGTGAGATCATGACCTGAGCCAGATCAAGAGTCTGATGCTTAACCAACTGAGCTGCCCAGGCACCCCGCTGTGCTGTCTTCTTGATGAGTTTGTTTTTCTTGTTTATTAAAGAGGACCCAATTCAGGATGCATCTGTCATAGCTACAAGATCAGAGATGTTACACTAACACTTTGTTATTTTGTAGGAAACGATAAAACCAGGTTTTGAGCAATTCCCCTCTCAGTTCTGCTATAACTGTTATTGTTGTCATTCCTGATGAGTTTTACTGCATCTCCCTGCTCTGCCCTGAAGCTCCCTCTGATCTCTCTGAGGGAGGCGGGGACTCGGGGGGGTCATAGGATGCTGTTCTGTAAACACTAGTTCACGTGCACATTTAGAGAGCTACCCTTTTGTTTTTTTCAGAAATAAAAATAGATGTGATCACTCAGGCTTTAGGAGACCACCAAAACCCACTACCTAACATTCCAATCACGCATTAAATATAAAAATAATCGTAGGACTATAAACCTGTGCTTGAAATAGCAGTAGTCATACAAGGCTAAATGACCTGAATTATGTCTAAGAATCAAAATATTTTATTGTGAAAGTTTGTGGGCTTCAAGTTAATATTCACTCTAGCTTCGTTACTTAAACTAGGCAGCAAGGAGGCCTGGTTGAAAACAAACTCCCTCTTTCCCTCCCCTCAGAAAAACAAGGGACCAAACCCTGGACAGCGAGGCCGTGTCTGGGTCTGTGCTAAGGACCCATGCGTAGGATTGCCTTCACCACCAGCCCCATGTCAACTTTGGGGCCATTCGGTGGGAATCAGTGTCTCTAGAAGTGATTTATTTCTAAAGCCCTGGTAAGAAAATTTAGCAAATCCCTGCAGCTTATTTTGGAAAGGAGCATTCTTCTGTGTTTATCCTTGCATTCAATATTCTTTTCCTGGCCTCGATAAAAGCATAGGGGATCAGTTTAGCTCTCATACCCTAGCCCCAAAAACTCATTGCAGGGGAGAAATGACTACCTCATGGAGACTGCATCCCACTGTACCAAGAATGCACAGCTAAATCTCCAAATTCCATTATAAAGTGGGTATCTTTTGCCTTCCTGTCAGAAGAAAATTGAAGCACTGAAAGGTTGAAATGACTTCTGGATTCCATGGGCAAAAACCAATTATGAAATAGAACCCAAGATTTCTGGCTCACATTAATGAATAGACCTAGTTTATTCCCAGCTTCTACACTGGTGTTTCGTGGTGATTTGCCTGCAATGAGCAATGAGCTACTTACACTTAGTCTTCTGCAAAAAGAGGAGACACCGGTGGGCCGCCCTCACCCATCAGGCAGTGAGCCTGACCTCCCAACAGCTGAGGGTGAGTGCTCATTTTCGCGCTGTCAGTCAGTTGCACACGCAGCTCACAGGCTTGATCACTCACCCGGGCGTCGCAAAGGAGCAGGTCTGTGTGGGTTCATTCCTCTACATATCATAGAAACATTCTGCTCAATGCACTAAAGGATATGAAGCCGCTATCCACACAAAGAACAGGGTTGTTTCTTAAATCTGCTGCAAGGTCCTGTCGAGTTGATAGCTGCGAACAAGAGCAGATGCTTCAGCGCAGAAGCAGGACTCCAGAGGAAGATGGATGTCAGGTGTGAAAAATACTTTTACCTCATCCCTCCCGTTTCCTTTCTCTGGATCCCCTGCCTTCATGTCCCTGCCCTCTACAGGGAGTGGCTTCTCTGTGCTTTAGGTGACATCAAAGCCACCCCTCTCGACAGGTCTCTCCAGTGGGGATGGGAGCCATCAGTGCAGTTTCCAGACTTGTTCCTAGTTCATTGAATGTATTAAACTTCAGCCACCTCTCAGGACAGTGTCAAACACTTTGCAAAGAAAGCACTTTTTGCTGTATGAAATACAGGCTTTTCCCCCAAAGTGATATAATCAGCAGTTCTGATATCCCATTTGCCATTTAGCTCCTGCTCTATTCTGGACACTTTCTGAACAGTGCTTATGCAGCATTTTCTATGCGTGCATGACCTGTCACTCCCTCACCCCCAAACTAGATAGGGGGAGCTTGGATGATAAAGGCTGGCCCCACAGCAGTATCTCAAACTCCTAATGAGGTTGCCTTCTCAGTCATCCAGCCACTTTCCACCACCTTCAACCACGAGGGTGTGGAGAGAACCCCATACTTTCTCTCCCTACTTTTCTCCAAAATAGAAGCTGGCCAGTCCTGACAGCATTCCCAGCATCTTGCAGGGAACCAAGGGTCACCGTGCCTCCTTTTGGCCTCCAGCTCATTCAAAATCTGTGGTTTCTCCTTTCTCACGAATTATTAACTCAGTGTCTCCTGCCTTCTCAACTGTCATCTTGAGGGCCTCCTACGAACCACCTATCAAAATCTTGCACTTCACCCAGTAGGGCATGCAGTCCCTGTAATTAAGAGGAGAAATCCCTTAGTCTCTGTTCTTTTGATATCTAGTATCATGGAACCAGGGCTCTACCAGTATTGCATTTTCTTCCCCCTGGCGAAAAGGCAAGCAGCCCAGACATCACAGTACTTGAGATGCAAACACATAGTGGACTCCTGTAAGGAGGAGGGAGTCCTGGAATTGTGGTTTCTTACCAGGGTGAAGTTCGGCAACTTTAAGTCATGAGTGAAAACTTTCCTCTGATGTGAAGAGACAGTCTCCACTCACTCCACTGGAATAACCAGCCCCAACCAAGACTTTATGTCCAGCCGTGTGGAAGAAAGTCTTTCTAGCACCACGTGGTTCATTTGATGACACTGGACCCCAAGCCAGTTGGGAAGGGAATTTGCTCTAAAAGCTGCATAGCATTTGATTTACTGAACTGTCAGGATCTCTGCCCCATCTTAGGCCATGTGGCATTAGCCTTCCTTCTGTTCCCATCAGTGACACCCCAGTGGGTCTCACTGCTGCTTCCAGAGCGTCCCTCCCATGGGATGAGCTTAGAAACCTCTCTTCCAGGGCACCTGGGTGGCTCTGTTGGTTCAGCGACTGACTCAATTTCAGCTCAGGTCATGATCTCATGGTTCATGAGATTGAGCCCCGTGTCGGGCTCTGTACTGACAGCCTGCTTAGCATTCTCTCTCTCTCTCTCCCTCTCTTTCTCTCTTCCCCTCCCCTACTCACCCTCTCTCTCACTCTCTCAAAATAAGTAAATAAACGTAAAAAAAATTCTATTTTCCAACACTCATACTCACAGCAGGTGATGAACTTCTGGGAGGTTTAGAGAGAGTGGGTGCGACAGACTTCTGAGGGAGATCGGCCAGGTTTCTCCATAAGCAGTTCCCAGATGGTGATGTCCCCAGGAAACCATTAGACCACACCACATTCCAAAGACCTGCTTGGTTCCTGGCCTGTGGCTCACTGGGTGGATTTTGCCCCCAGCAGCCAGAAGCCGTGAAGGTGAAGCTCCTAGTCCTGACGAGACCCTGCAGCCACGCTGCCTCCCTTGCTGATTGAGACAGTGGCATGGGGGTGCTGGCTCCACTAACTCAGCTATCTTGGTTCCTAATGTGTTTTTTATGGTGTGGCTCTCTTGAGATTGTACTTGAAAAATGCAGTTTATCATTCTGGAATAAAGAACGAGTAAGCTTGTATTCAAACACATAACTTATGAAAACCAGCCAGATTGGTACAGATGAGTGTCTGTACCAAAAGACTTTTATATGGAGTCTGGTACTCTTTTATTTTCTCAGTACACTGTAGAGATATAGCTAAAAATAATTTAATGAGCTAAGGTCCTATATCTAAATGATACAACCCAAGAGTGCATGGCTACATGTGTAGAACCCAAAAATAAAGCAAAGGTAAAAATGATCCCAACAACCCGACTCCATAATAACAGCAAGTGCGGCAAACCACCGTGATAAAGTGTGCACTTGTGATGTCTCAAATCCCTCTTCTTCAATCCTTTGCAGGGAGGTTTGGTCCCAGTTTGGAGGTAGGGAAGTCTGAGATAGAAAATCCTAAGTGACTTTGCTCAGAGCCAGGCAAGGTTGAAAGAGCCAGGAGCAAATCTGAAAATAGCCAAAAACCACAGGTCCTCTTGGAATGGCCTTCTGTGAGCTTTATAAATGACGGAACGAGTGCTTACTCCCAGCGAGTGGAAGCCAGCACATCTTGTGGAAACCTGCCCTTCCAGGAAAATGAATGCCACACCAGAACCCAG